TTACCTCCATGGCCAAAGCCGCTGTTTGCTGGTCGTAGTGGTTGAGGAGGTTGGGCATGAAGGTGGTGTTGTAAGGCAGGTCCTGGCACATCCTCAGGATGATGGGCTCGCAAGAAAACAAACTGTGCCCCTCCGTGAGCCCCACCAAAACATCCAGCAGCCAGAGGGAGCACCAAACCCAGCTCCCAGCCATCCTTCCACACGGGGAACGGGGTCGGTTGCGGCCCTTCCAGCTCCTTCCGTATCCCGGGGTTTCACCCCGACGACGACATTCCCAGCCCTTGTTTGAGGCTCTTCCAAACTGGAGCAGTCTTTGTGTTCAGCATCCTCAGCTCAGTCCAGGAGGAGGTGTATTTGAGGCGGGTGTGCAAGGAATCTGCCCTTCCCTCAGTCTGATATGCCATGAATTAGTTTCGGTTTTTAAAGCATTTTCAACCACATTCCCACACGACTGACCCCATGGTGACGGAGCAGCAGCAGCAGAGGGACGTCCTCCCTTCGATGGGTAGCCCTGAAACAACAAAGAGAAAACACTAAAAAACCCCTTGGATTTGCTTAAACTCTGTTACCTCTCAATTTCTGAGGATTCCTACTGGCAGACAAGTTCTCCTGTGCAAGACTAGAAGGTCCTTGGACGAGTTTTAATCCTGGTTGTTTGGTGGGTTTTTTTTTTAATCTCTGGAAGAAATTAATGGAAGATGGAAGAAATTAATGGAAGAGGGAAGAAATCAATGGAAGATGGATGAAATTAATGGAAGGTGGATGAAATTAAGGGTAGAAAAGCTGGGATGCTGAAAGACTCTACCCGAAAAGGGCGACGAAAACAGGGATTGCGTAGTAGTTTGAGGAAACCCCGCGCTTCAAACCTTAACTGCGAGTGTTTGACCACACTGAAACCAAGCTACTTGTGACTCAGCACCTCCTCTGGTGCGCTCACATCGATAGCATCTCGTTCTTTGCGTGGCCTGATGAATAATTATAAAACACAAACACAAAGAGTCACCACCGGCACCAGCCCACAAGTCCCAGCTCGCCACTGTCCTGCCCAACAAGCTCTGCCGTGGTTTGTGCTCGAATGTGCCATTTTCATCTACTTGTAAATGGTTTTTTTTTTTTGGTCGTTCCTGACCCGTTTTAATCCCACACATCCATCCCCCCTCTCCAGGAACCACCGCAGCGGCTGAGGATAGACCAGAGGAGTGTTCTTTGACCGACAAAAAGTAACGATTTTTAATAAATGTTTTGCTTTGCCATGGTAAAATCTGCAAAATTCAGTCCCCAACCGACTGCTTTAAAGCGAATTATCGTTAAAAAAGGTAAGAAATTTAGAAGCTCTGCTCGAACCACAAATTTGAAGGGGCTTCCAACCTTGAGAGGGTTTTTCCTCGGATGTTCAGAAAGGGAAATAAATCCACAGGTTTTCCCTTTCTCCCTGAGAGTGAGGGACAGGAAAGAGTTAATTCCCAGATGTCTGCTGGTATCAGTTCTGCACGTTTTTGTTTGCACAGGCCCATCTGATGGGGGGAAAAATTAAGGAGCATAAAGCTCTTTAAAACTCTCGTGCACTGGGTGATCTTGAGAGGTTCCTTCCAACCCAAACAATTCAGGGCTTCCCTGCAAGATCCTGGGTTTGCCTGCAGGTTTTTGAAGACAGGTTGGTTAAAACCAAACATGAAAACAGGAAAAAAACCGAAAAAAAAGATGATAAACAGAACCATGTTAAATTCAGTTCATTGGTAATATTTTATTTTTTTTTTCAGAGGCTGCTCAGCTCTGTCACAGAGATTGATGGGGAAGGCAGCATGGAATCACATGAAGAATATCAACAGGAAAACTGTTCCAAATGCAGGGAAAATAAAATATGACCAAGAAGGAAAGAGAACTATCCACCCCTTAAGTGGCAGAACCAACCAAAAGAGCTCAAGTCACAGTGTCTTGCTCATATTTTAAAGCAAAAGTTGCTGTGAGGGGCCAACACACTGATTTTAGAAGGCCAAAATCAGCCCACAAGACAGATTTAAGACACGTCACGTGCAACCACATCTGATTTTTAGCCCGGTTTCAAGTTCAGATGAGCTTGAAAGGTCCTGATCTGAGGATGCCATTTCTCAGAGTGCCTTTTTAACAACTTTTTTTTTTAACAATTTGGGGACTCTCGCAAGGAACAAAGAGCTGGACTATCCCATTTTCCAGGCAGCATCACCAGAGCCTGAAGCCTTTGGCGTGTTCTCCCCCTCCCAGCCAGAAAAATCCCAAGTTACAGACAGATAAAACCAATTCCTAGTTGGTTTTTTTTCAGCCCATGGGATGGGATGGGATGGGATGGTCTTTAAGGTCCCTTCCAACCCAAACCATTCCTTGATTCCATGTTGTGCGAGGTGCCCAATCCCCCTGGAATCCAAATCCTTTGGTTTGAATTTTGGTTACTAAGAGTTCCTCCCAGTCAGGAAAAGAAGTTTTTTTGAGCTTGTGGGATTCCTGCCATTCCTTTTTTCTCTTTCCCAAACACTCTGACCACCAAACCCTCGAGATTTTATTCCAGAATTCCAGGGAATTCACCGCACAGTGTGGGATAAGTCACAAAATAAGCGACTTATTTTGCCATTGAGCACTGATCAGAAAATGCTTCATTGAAGAGGTTCAGAAGCAACATAAAATGAACTAAAGAAGTCTGAAAGCACAAACATTGGGAAAACCCAGGTCAGGATCTGAAATCTTGGGAAAAATTCCATGAACACTTCACACAAATCGTATTAAAGGCACAGAAAGCAGAGACTCCAAAAAAAAATCCACCTATTCTCTGACTCCCCCCCCAGCCTCAAACTGCTAAAAACATGCAAAAACACAGCCTCAAACTGCTAAAAACCACCACCAAAAAAAAAGTTTAGGTAAAAAGCAGAAAAACCTTTCCATGTTATGCTCATTGCAGTAGGAAGAAAATATAAAAAATATATTTACAAGGGACACCAAAGTGCATCCAGTGCCCCTTCCTGGGAGAACAACAAAATTCCAGGTGAAAGGAAGCAAAAAAGGGAACCAAATGATTGCAAAAGGAGAGCCAAGTTTTGCACAGGAGATATAGATGATCTATTAATTGGTGCAGACAGATGGGTGCTGTAATAAGCGATCCCCAGTGTCAGGAGAGCTTCTTGCCACAGATCCAGTTTGTACACTCTTTGTTAAGCCTCTGCATGTGAGATTTTTGTGGTTCTTTTTATATGCATATAAAAACAAAACACTTTCGATGACACAGGGGATAAAGAAAAAAAAAAAAAAAAGGAGGGGATGTCTCCTCATCCACCCCAAGGCACTGCAAATAAAATGCAGGGAAAAAGGGGTAGGAAACGGTAGTTTGTTAGTGTGGTTGTGGATTTATACATTATTTATCATCAGAGGAAGCTCATCCAACTCCTGGTGCAAAGAGAACTATTATAAAGAGTGACAATGATGAAAAGAAAGGGTTGACTCCCACAAGTAAATCTTAAAATAAATTTGAAAGTTCCTAAGGTGGGGGGCGGGGGGGGGATGTGGAAAGAATGAGAAAAAACTCACGAGACTTTAAGAAGAAATGGGGAAGGAGGATTAATTCACAGTTATCCGTCCCAGGGAAACGGGAAGGTAAAACAACAAACCCGGGCTCCTCCTGTACAAGTGAGAGGACAAGAGGAAAATGTCACCTCCGTCACTCCCCACCCAGCCCTGACCGCGGAGAAAGGGAAGGAGAGCAGCTCATTCATCGCACACAAGCACTGCCAGCGTTTCCCCAGCCCATTGCCACCCACATGAAGGCACAAAAGCAGAATACATTATTCTCCCCACTCCATTTTAATTAGTCAGTGGGAAAGAAACTCCCGGTGCTCGCGCTCCCCCGTTCCGCTCGCGTTGCATCTTAAGGGGGAACCACACCATAACCACCTCCCCCCCCCCTAATTCAATCAGGAGACCGGGGAGGAAAGAGGGAGCGTGGAAAGGCACAAACCCTTCCTGGGGAGATTTCATGAAATCATGGACTTGTTCGGGTTGGAAGGGACCTTAAAGCTCATCCACTTCCAACCCCAGGGATGCCACTCGCTAGATCCAGAGGGATGGGGCTGGCAGCTCGCTCCTTGAGTCCGTATTCCTTGGGAAGGGACCGGAGAGGGAGCTGGCCATCCTCCCCGGGATGGGAAGCGGGATGCTGAGCGAGCATCCCCCTTTTCCCCTTGGATCCTCGCCGCGTTTTAAAGGCGAAGGGAACAAGTGCACACGCGGGACCAGCATCCTCTCGGATTCCCGCTGCACGGCGAAGGAGAAGGAAGGAGATGCTCGCACAGAACACCTGCACGTCCTTCCCGGGTGGAAAAGGAAAGAGGAGCGCGTGGATAGAGCCGCGAAGGGAGAAGGATGAGGGACCAGCATCCCTTCCCCGGCATCCCGCACCACGGCGCGGGGGGAGCCCGGGACGAGCACCCCCGGCCCCGCAGGGAGGCACGGGCGGTGAATCCATCTCCCCTCCGCGGCGCTCAGCACCAGCATCCCCCGTTCCTCCTCCCGGGACGAGCATCCCCCCCGTGTCCCTGCGATCCGCTCCGCTCCCCCCGCCCGCCCAGCGCTGCTTGCATGGCCGCCCCGCCAGCGCCTCGGCGGGCGGCTGCCCGTCCCCCGCGGCCCGGAGGGCGGCTCCCCCGGCGGGGATGGCCCCGTGTGCCGTCGCCCCGTGGCCGGTACCTGTCCTTGAGGGGGTCCCGCAGCCCCCGCAGCTCCCGCCTTGTCCCCTCGGGTGGCGGCGGCGGCGGCAGCGCGCGCCTCCCCACCCCGCCCCGCCGGGCCACGCCCCCCGCCGCGCCATCGAGCCCCGCCCCCGCCCCGCCGCGCGGCCAATCGGAGCGCGCCCGGCGGGTTGCTAGGTAGATCGGAACCCCCGGCCGGGCTAACCCCGCCGGGGGGAGCTGATTGGCTGGCGATCACCCCCCGCGGTTGTCATGGCGACGGGATGCGGAGGGGAGGGGGAGGAGGAGGAGGAGGAGGCGATGTCCGAGGGATGAAGGAGGAAGGTGAGGGGACACCGCGGGACACGGAGGGACACGGGAGACTTAGGAGAGTGTGGGGAGCGAGTGTCACTGCAGTGGGGCACGGCCGAGCCCTGAGGGGACACGGGGGGACACGGGAGCCCTGGGAGAGTGTGAGGAGGGGTGTCACGGCAGTGGGACACGGGGGGGACATGAGGGGACACCGGAGGACAGGGAACACCTGGGAGAGCGTGGGGATGGAGAGTCACTGCAGTGGGACACGGCCGAACCCTGAGGGGACACAGTGGGGATGGTGGCACCTGGTTTGGAGCAGCCCTGGTGTGTCACAGCCCCAGGGCAGTGCCCGTCCCTGTGCTGGCACTGCTGGGGCACCTCCAGGGCTGGGGGCAGTGCTGGGCCCCTCAGACAAGAGAGACACTGAGGGGCTGGAGCAGCAGGAATATCTGAGGGAGCTGGGAGGGCTCATCCCAGAGAAAAGAGGGATCAGGAGGGACCTTTTCCCACCCCACAACTCCCTGCCAGGAGGGGGAGCCAGGGGGAGTCAGGCTCTGCTCCCAGGGAATGAGGGACAGAAGGAGAGGAAACGGCCTCCAGCTGTGCCAGGGGAGGGGCAGGTGGGATATTGGGGTGCTCAGGCACTGGAATGAACTTCCCAGGGCAGGGGTGGAGTCCCCATCCCTGGAAGTGTTCCAAAAACACGTGGATGTGGCCCCTGGGGACCTGAGTTAGTGGTGGGGTAATGTTTGGACTGGATGATCTCAGAGCTCTTTCGCCAACCTGGACAATTCTGGGATGCTGTGAGGGGGGTCTCCCACAGTGCAGGGAGGACAGGGAATAAAAGGCATCATGCAAAGAGTACAAACTCAGTCAATGAGTGGGAAAAGCACTTGATATCCATGGACAAGTCTCAGCCTTGCTGGGCTATTGATTTCACCCCCAGGTCCTTCTCCTCAGCTCTCCATCTGTTCTCTGCCCTCTGTTCCCATGCTTGTTCCTGCTGCTCAAAGCATTCCTTCCATCATCCCACTGCTTATTTTTGATGCAATTGCAAACAAAACTACTTTCCTGTCTTGGCTTGAGACTGATTCCGTTAAATTCTGTTTATTCCCAGCTGAACCCCTCGGATTGCCCCGTGGATTGATGGGATTAGGAAAAACGCATCCTTAAAATTCCCAGCGCAGCGGGCTCTGTGCACCACAAGGGCTCTTTGCTGTAGGGATGTGGTCAAAAAAACATTAATAAAGTGGGTCTGCTCCTGCAGGAGTTGTTTTGAGTATGGTTTGCCCAAACCATAAGCAGAGATTAGCCCAGGTAAAGGAAATTATTCCCATGCCCTTGGCTAATGGGATATGATCGTTATGGACTGTTAAGCTTTCTTCAGTGCAATCACTTGGGGTTTTTAACCCAAAAACTTGACCCAGCTTGTGCTGAAACCAGGGAAAGTATTTCCTCCAGTGGTTTCCAATTTAAATTGTCTCGCTGTTAGAACCCACCATTCACGTTTCCTGCCCTGTGGAATTATTTAACTTCTTCAAACATCACCAAAATCTCGTGGATCCCCGCTCAGTGTATCCTTCCATCCTAACTGGGAACCATTCCCAGGGACTCTGGCCATAGTAAGTGAGGCAGTTTTCCTCTTTTTAACCCCATATAAACTCCCAAAAGTTGGATTTTCCTCAGTCTTCCCCCCAAATCTCTTTTGCCCTGGTATTTATTATTCCTGCCACCTGCTCCCACATTCCATTCTTACTTTTTCTGGAAGGATAAGAGGTGATTTTTGGGGGGTGGCATTGTGTGTCAATAGTTTTTGCTCCCTGGGTGGTGAACCAACACATTCCTGACATGCATTTAAAGCCTGATTCCCTGTTAACCTCATCCCATCTCTCTTGCTGATGGAAATGTTTTTCGGATCAGCTGAGCTGGATGAATTTCATCCTGGGATAGGTGAAGAACAAGCTGGAGCAACCTCTGGAATGTTGTTTTGGGCAGCCAGTCCAAAGATAAAGAGCATTGCAAGAGAGAAGTGGGGCCCTGGCTAAAGTGATGGGACAAAGGGGAATGGCTTTAAACCAAAGGAGAGGAGATTTAGGTGGGATATTGGGAAGGAATTCTTGACTGGGAGGGTGGGGAGGGGCTGGGCTGGAATTCCCAGAGAAGCTGTGGCTGCCCCATCCCTGAGAGCATCCAAGGCCAGGCTGGACAGGGCTTGGAGCAACCTGGGATCGTGGAAGGGCACAAGGATAAAACCACAGGATCATGGAATCTCCTGAGCTGGAAGGGGCCCACAAGGATCATCCCAGTCCAACTCCTGGCCCTGTGTAGGACACCCCAAAATCCCACCCTGTCCTTGAGCTCTGGCACCCTTGGGAAGTGACCATTCCCTCGGGAGCCTGTTGGGTGCCCCACCACCCTCTGGGGGAAGAACCTTTTCCTACATCCAACCTCAACCTCCCCTGGAGCAGCTCCAGCTGCTCCCTCGTGCCCTGTAGCTGGAAGGAGAAGAGCTCAACACCTGCCCCTCACAAGGAAGTTGTAACCAGGCTTTGTCCACACCCTGAGCCACATTTTGGGCCCAGCAGGTGCAGGAGGGGATCCCGAGACCCCCACGAGCCGCTCCTGGGCCGGCCCTCAGAGGCACTCCGGGAATGTGGCCGCTCCAGCACCGGGAAACCACATCCAGGAGGGAATCTGGGACGTGAACCCCAGGCTGGGAGTGTTCTGCAGTGCCAGCTGATGGGGCTGTGACTAATGGAGAAAGTTGTCCCTGAAAAACAGGACACGGTTGCCCGAACCTGTTTTGGTTTGGTTTGGTTTGGTTTGGTTTTTGGCAGAGGAGCTGTTTCTCCACTCCTGGGTATTTCTGGGCAGGAAAACCCAAACAAAACCAGCCCAGTGAGTGATGCCATCCCAAAGTGTATCCCAAAAACGCCCACGGGGTTGCACGAGGCATTTTCCAGCTGCGGAATGCGGGGCTGTGAAACCTCGCTGGCTCCTTTAGGTCTTTTTTTGGGAAGTTAAAAGTTCCATGTGCAGACATGGGAGTCTTTAAGGATCTTTAGCCTCCAAAAATTAAAAATAAATAAATAAACAAAAAATTAAAAAAGGCAGGAAGAACTCAGGTTCTTGTAATGAACTTATTTCCAAGGACCACGTTACATGCCCAGAGAGGAAAATGTAACAGGTTCTTCATTGGTTTTCCTTTATATTTCTTTGACTCCATAAGGAAAATTAATCATAAAAGTGATGTGCCCAAGCAGATCCTGCAGTGGGTTTTGAAGAATAACCCATTTACATATTGAGGAATTTTGTCTGGGTAAGGAATGGGACCCTGAGCTTTCTATAATGTCTCCTGAGCCTCAGAGCTGTATTAGTGCAAAATGTCCTTTTTTCTGAGTGAGTTTTGAGGTGTTTGAGGGCTCAGGGCAGGCTGGAAAGACAATATGGGAGTTACTTCATGGATTTGCCTTTTCTTGTGTTTCAAAATTCCTATTTATCCACCTTGTTACCAGAAAGCTTTAAAGTAGTCCAAGGAATTTACAGGAAAACTGCCTGATAAGTGTAAGCAGGAAACAAAGATATTTTTTAACGTGGTAAAGGAATTATCTGGTTTTCAGGCTGCTGCAGTTTCAGCCTCCAGTCTGGGAATGGGATACTCGATCTGAGGAATGGCACTATCCTGCTGAATCCAGTCTTACCAATTTCATGAAGCTCAGTTAATTTGGGAAAGGGCAAATTTTATTCAAAGCCCGATTTTGCTTCAAGTAGAAATTTCAGTCCACAAGAGCAGCACAGCCCCCAAAACCACCAACAACCTGCAAGATTTCAGTCGGCTCTGAACCATTTTTGGCTTCCAGAAAACAAAAAACTGCCCCTTCCGAGGCTTGGCACCTTCGAGGCCCCACCCAAGACCAGCAGGCACGCCAGTCACCTGCAGTTTTCAGTCCCAAAAATCTCTGGATTGCAGGATTGTTGAGGTTGGGAGAAATTCTTTGCTCTGCAGGTGAAGGAACAGCCCGGGGGTAACTCTGGCCCGTGTTTTGTGTAAATGTTGCAGCCTCTGGTGCTGACAGGAGGCCGCCCCACCTGCTGCATCCATGGCATTTGCACCTCCCAGGAGCAGCGATGGCTCCAAGCTGCAGGTCAAGATGAGCACGTGGACCCCGCTGAACCATCAGCTCATGAACGACAAGGCGAGTTTTGGGCCTGAAATTCGGAGAATCGCGGGGTTTTTGGGGGCAGGGGGGGTGGAAGAGACTCCTGGAGATCATCCAGTCCAGCCCCTCAGGGCGGAGTCTGATTTACCATTTCTCTGCTCAGGATCATGGCCTGAGGTCTGGAATATTCTCAGAGCCTGAGGTTTGGAATATTCCCATGTCCTGAGTATTGGAATATTCTCCTGTTCTGGGTGTTGGAATATTCCCATGTCCTGAGGTTTGGAATATTCTCCTGTCCTGAGGTTTGGAATATTCTCCTGTCCTGGGTGTTGGAATATTCTCCTGTCCTGAGGTTTGGAATATTCTCCTGTCCTGAGGTTTGGAATATTCTCCTGTCCTGGGTGTTGGAATATTCTCCTGTCCTGAGGTCTGGAATATTCTCCTGTCCTGGGTGTTGGAATGTTCTCCTGTCATGGGTGTTGGAATATTCTCATGTCCTGAGGTTTGGAATATTCCCATGTCCTGGGTGTTGGAATATTCTCATGTCCTGGGTGCTGGAATATTCACATGTCCTGGATGTTGGAATATTCTCCTGTCCTCAGTATTGGAATATTCTCATGTCCTGGGTGTTGGAATATTCTCCTGTCCTGGGTGTTGGAATATTCTCCTGTCCTGAGGTTTGGAATATTCTCCTGTCCTGAATGTTGGAATATTCTCCTGTCCTGAGGTTTGGAATATTCTCCTGTCCTGAGGTTTGGAATATTCCCATGTCCTGAGGTCTGGAACATTCTCATGTCCTGAGGTCTGGAATATTCTCCTGTCTTGAGGTCTGGAATATTCTCCTGTCCTGAGGTTTGGAATATTCTCATATCCAGGGTGTTGGAATATTCTCCTGTTCTGGGTGTTGGAATATTCCCATGTCCTGGGTATTGGAATATTCCCATGTCCTGGATGTTGGAATATTCTCATGTCCTGAGGTCTGGAATATTCTCCTGTCCTGGGTGTTGGAATATTCTCCTGTCCTGAGGTTTGGAATATTCCCATGTCCTGGGTATTGGAATATTCTCCTGTCCTGGGTGTTGGAATATTCTCATGTCCTGAGGTCTGGAATATTCTCCTGTTCTGGGTGTTGGAATATTCCCATGTCCTGGGTATTGGAATATTCCCATGTCCTGAGGTTTGGAATATTCTCATATCCAGGGTGTTGGAATATTCTCCTGTCCTGGGTGTTGGAATATTCTCCTGTCCTGAGTTTTGGAATATTCTCCTGTCCTGAAGTTTGGATTATTCCCATGTCCTGAGTATTGGAATATTCCCATGTCCTGAGGTTTGGAATATTCTCCTGTCCTGGGTGTTGGAATATTCCCATGTCCTGAGGTTTGGAATATTCTCCTGTCCTGAGGTTTGGAATATTCTCATGTCCTGAATTTTGGAATATTCTCCTGTCCTGGGTGCTGGAATATTCACATGTCCTGGGTGTTGGAATATTCTCCTGTCCTGGGCGTTGGAATATTCTCATGTCCCGGATGTTGGAATATTCCCATGTCCTGTGGTTTGGAATATTCTCATGTCCTCAGGTTTGGAATATTCTCCTGTCCTGGGTGTTGGAATATTCCCATGTCCTGAGTTTTGGAATATTCTCCTGTCCTGGGTGTTGGAATATTCTCCTGTCCTGAGTTTTGGAATATTCTCCTCTCCTGGGTGTTGGAATATTCTCCTGTCCTGAGGTTTGGAATATTCTCCTGTCCTGAGGTTTGGAATATTCTCATGTCCTGGGTGTTGGAATATTCTCCTGTCCTGGGTGTTGGAATATTCTCATGTCCTGAGGTTTAGAATATTCTCATGTCCTAGGTATTGGAATATTCTCTTGTCCCATGACAAATTCTCAGGTTCACTTCACAAATTCTCAAACCCTAGAAAAATTTAATGTGTTTTTTGCCTGTGTGGGTCACGATTAATGGAATAAGAACCTCAACATCTTGTTCCTTTTAAACAAAAACAAAAAAAAAAGTGGATTTATTTCTTACTGAAAGTCCCCAAATCATTCTTTTGTGGTTTTTTTTTTTTTCACGGTAAGACTTCAGTTCAGCATTTTTCCCTCGTGGAAGGACTTTTATCCTGCTTCAAGCCAACACTTGAACCTCCTCTGATAAACTAAACAGACTGAGCTCTTTGAAGTCCTTTCAACCTGGCACATCCTCCAGCCTTTGAATCATTTTAATGCCTTTTTCCTGCTTAAAAGGTATTTTCACAGCCACGCATCCCTGTGCAGGGATTGGAAATAATTGGAAATAAGTAGGAAATCACCTTTTCCCACCTTTTTTTTTTTAAACTCCTCTCATCCTTAGGGAGTCAGAGGCAAAACTTTTAGGAGTGAATATTGGGAGCCTTTTCCAGCCTTAATGATTGGTTGAAATGCTGGATAAAAAGTGTTTTCCATGTTTTCCGACCTGCCTGAAGCTCCTTTTTGAACACCTGAAGATGTGGATGTGAGCAGGGAGATCTCAGGAGCCACCCCGGCTGCATCCAAGGCCAGCAGGAGCAGGAACAGCCCCAAGACCTTGGAGGAGAGGACACAAAACACACGTGCTTGATGAAGGCAGTGGGTGATTATCCCAATTTGGGGCCATCCTGCCGCTAATTAACGCTTCCAAACGCCCGGAGAGGCAGAACTTTCCGCGGGGCTGAGCTCAGAAGCGTCTCCAGGAGCGCTGAAAGCAAATGTGTGCCTTGCTTTGATCACGGACCATTAGCATTGCTCTTGGTTACATAAACAGCTCCCTCACTCCGCACGAATTCTCCAGCCCAAAACTCAGAGCTTTCACTATTCATCACTTGGCTCGGGGCAAACCCTTTTCCAGGTTCAGCTCGTTGGGCTTTGGGGGTTTGTGGTTTTGGGGTTGGGGTTTTTTTTTGTGCTTTATATATATTTTTTTTTCCTTCTGGCTTTGCTGAGCGTCCACCCCCCCCCCCCAAATAAAAGCGAGTAATAACTGCACAAATAAAAGGAATGTCACTTCCCAAACTGCAGCAGCACCGACAACAACGAGGTCCTTCCCCACAGGAACCCCCTTGGCGGGCTGGGGCAGCCAGGACTCGTCTGGGCTTTGTGCTGATCAGCCACATTTCCCCCTTAGTCGTGCTTAACAGATGTTTTATCTGCACTTAGAAGCTGGATTTTTCCTCCCCCCATCTTTCATCTGCCCGCTGGAGGAATCATCTGCAGCCTTTTCCTCACTTTCAGGGTCACCGTCCTGAGTGCGGGGGAGGTTCTGTGGGAGAGGAGAAGGATCCAGGGAGACCTTGGAGCCACTTCCAGAGCCTGCAGGGGCTCCAGGAGAGCTGGAGAGGGATTTGGGGTCAGGGCCTGGAATGACAGGACACAGGGAATGGTTTCCCACTGCCAGAGGGCAGGGAGAGATGGGAGATTGGGAAGGAATTCCTGGCTGGGAGGGTGGGGAGGGACTGGCACAGGTTGCCCAGAGACGTTGTGGGATCCCCATCCCTGGGGGTTTGGTTTGGAAATGACCTTAAAAATCATCTCATTCCACCCCCTGCCACGGGCAGGGACACCTCCCACTATCCCTGGCCTTGGAGACTTCCAGGGATGGGATGTTGAATCCAGGGGGTTTCCTGAGTACATTGATAACTTCCAACTGATTCCCAGACTTTAGGGAGCCTTTCAGGGCTGTCCACCATAATATCCTGGTAGATGAGCTGATGAAGGAGAGGGAATTGGACTGAAAACCAGGACACACCAGGAACAGTGAAGGTGGCAGGTCAAGGGATATGGATTCTCCCTCTCTCCACAGCACTGCTGAGGACAGTCCTGGAATGTTCTGTCCATTTTTTGGGCTCCCCAGTACAGGAAATAACAGGGACTTGCTGGACCAGAGCCAGCACAGGGCCAGGGAAGTGATTAAGGAATTGGGGAATCTGATGTTCAGGGAGGTTGTGGAATCTCCATCCTAGAAGATACTTGAAGCTCATCGGGGTTTTGAAGCCCTGAACGACCTTCTTGAGTTGGAACTGAAGGATCTCCACAGGTTTCTTCCAAACTCATCCATTCCCTTCTCCTCAGTTTGCTTTTTCAAGCTGTGTTTTCCTCAGGGCATGTGGAATCTCCTTTAAATATTCCATTTTTTTGTTTGTGTGTGTGTGTTTTACAGGTATTTGAAGAAAGAAGAGCCCTCCTTGGAAAATGGGTAAGCTTTTCCCTTTAAATATGTATTTAAATATGGATATATTTTTGGAACTGACCAAGGGGTTGTCTGATGGGAATGTAAAACTTACCCTGTTTTGAGAAAGGGCTTCATTTTCCTGCCAGGAAAGTGAGCTGTAACTGCTCTGCTTCTGAGGAAAGTAAAGCTCCAAATTCCCTCAGTGCCCACCCTGAAGTTGGGAAATCACATCCCATCATCAGAATGGGATAAGAAAACCCTGGGAAAAGCCTTGAAAGGAGATGTTGGATGTTTAGGAGTAGCCATGGCCACATGGAAATCTGTAATAAATGACATTTTTGTCTACCAAGTGCACACATAAAATCGTGGGATGGTTTGGGTTGGAACTGGGGCTTATTCTTTCTGGTTAATAAGCCATTAATTATTTTTTTTTTTTTTTTGCATATGGACTGGTCTTTACAGGCAAATCTTTTGTTTTTAAGGATTTTTTTTTTGGTCATTATATCATTATTTTTTGTCATTATATCATTATTTTTTGTCATTATATCAGCTCCACTGATAATTCCTTGCTGGAATAGCTTGCCCAGGGGTGGAATCTCCATCCCTGGAGTCCCTTGGGAACAGGTGGGACAAACACCAGCAGGAATGGTTTAGGGGAGAGCAAATCTGAACCAGCTCAGTGTTCCTCCACCTTTCCCACTGAGGGACCATCCAGCCCTCTGGAAAACCCCTCCATCAGGGAGAAGATGTCTGGGGAAGGAAGGGGGGGGGAAATTGCTTCTCCATCCACTTGGCAGAAGAGCCCCGTGGGGCGGAGAATCCCTTCCCAGTGTCGTGGAGCACGGGGAATGCCTGTGGGGTCACAACCCCCCACCTCGGGTCCTCCTGCTGGGCTGGAGGTGAGGATTGTGCCCCTTCCCAGCTCCGGGCAGGGAGAGGGGCCTCTCTGGGATCAGCTGCGGGCGCGGGGCTGTCCCTGGGTGTCAGGCTGCCTGATTTGTGTGTGTGTGTGTGTGCACTCAGGGATTAATCGTAAACCGATCCCAGGAGCGGGGCCCGAGCGATGCCAGCGCTGATGTCACCCCATCCCTGGGGAGACATTGTTTGCCAGGGCTTTGGGAAAGGCCCAGGCGAGGGGAAAAGCCGTTCGTGGCTGTGGGGAGAGGGAGGTGAAGCGAAGGGAATCCGGTTGGACTGGTCGGGTTGCCGGGATCACAGGCAAAGGGGAGGGAGGGAGGGAGGATGTGTGGGGAAAGGCAGCCAAATGTGGGATGGGGACATGCCTGTTAGCTGCTGGAAAAGACACAAATCCTCCAAATCCTGCCAGCTTAACCCCCTGGATGCTGCTGGATGTGATGGAGGAAAGGGCCGTGCGCTCCCGGCACTGATTCCAACGGAGCTTCCCCGGCACGAGGGGAAGGAATCATCCCGTGGCGGGACGGAAGGGGTTAAACAGGAGCGAATCCTTCTCCTGGAAAGTGAAGCCCGATTTGTTTTGACTGGTTCTCACTCGGCGTCTTGATGTGGAAGAGAACGAGCCAGTTACTCCCTCGCGACTCAACTCGGAGGGGAGAAACTTAACTTGGCAAATTGGGGATTGTTTTAATGAGAGGAGGATGTGGATGTGGCCACGGGAGCGAGGCAGTGTCTGCAGCAGCAGCAGCAGCAGCAGCAGCTTTTCCCCTTCCCGGGACAGGGAAAACCTTTCCCATCAAGCTGAGGGGGAGAAGGGGACCAGGAAAAACCTCCTCTGTCCCCCTCCATTTCATTTGTCACAGAGGCACAGAATATTCCGAGCTGGAAGGCACCCCCAAATTCTCTTTCCAAGCCCCAAATTCTCTTTCCAAGCCCCAAATCCCGAGGTCCTACTTCGTTTTTTCCCTGCTAAACACCATTAGAGGTGGAAGTTCTGTGCGAAACAGGGATGAGAGGAACTTAAATTCTGATTGTGTCTGAAAAAAGGGCGCTTGGGAGCTTTTTTTCCTATTTGACTTTTCATCTCCCTGGGACATCAGGAATGCCAGTCCCATCCTTCCTTCATTCTGACCTTCTCCAAGGTCTTGCAGAGGGGTTTGCAAGGAAGGGAAGAGCTATTTACTCTCCAGTGCTGGAATTCATCCAAGTGAAAATAGAGAGTGAAACAAAAGAGTTCTTCAGGATGATCAGGAAAGAAATCACTTCTCAATTACCCTTCATCTGCATAGGATATTTATTTTACACTATTATTCTGCCAGAGCATAGATTTCCTGGGGGGGAAGAAGAGGGGAAAACAATCTGAATTTCTAGTCTGTTTTGTCCTGAAAGGAAAAGGGAGACAGGACATTAAACCATTTACATGCAATAATAAGGAAAACCCTGGGAAAAAAATGTATTTTTTCTTAATATTTTTAATTTTTGGAGGTCACTTTTGACCAAGGGCTTAAATGTCCCTGAGGTCAAATGCAGCAAATGCTGTGATTTGACCTGCAGTGGAAATTTGGCTTCAGGAAACAGCCCTGTGGAAAAGAGGGTGCGTGGTTTGGGGATGGCCAGGCTGTGAGAAGGAAGGAAAAAGGGAAAAAGCAGCATTCCCCATGGAGGGGAATTCCCCTAAACTGCTCAGTTTTCCCTTTGAAAAGAAGGTGAGTTTGGGTCAAGGCGGCTCCTGCTGTGCAGGGAAGGAGGATCATCAAATCCCAGGATGGTTTGGGTTGGAAGAGACCTTAAAGATTGTTCAGTTCCACTCCCTGCCATGGGCAGGGACACCTCCCACCATCCCAGGTTGCTCCAAGCCCCGTCCAACCCGGCCTTGGACACTTCCAGGGATCCAGGGGCAGCCACAGCTTCTCTGGGAATTCCAGCCCAGCCCCTCCCCACCCTCCCAACCAGCAATTCCTTCCCAATCTCCCATCTCTCCCTGCCCCCTGGCAGTGGGAAGCCATTCCCTGTGTCCTGTCCCTCCATTCCTCATCCCCAGTCCCTCTCCAGCTCTCCTGGAGCCCCTTTAGGCTCTGGAAGGGGCTCTCAGGTCTCCCTGGATCCTTCCCTTCTCCAGGTGAACCCCCAGCTCTCCCAGCCTGGTTCCAGAGCAGAGGGGCTCCAGCTCTTGGAGCATCTCCGTGGCCTCCTCTGGACTCTTTCCAGCAGCTCCACGTCCTGGTGCTGTCGGGATTCCCTGCATTTCCCAGGAAAACCTGCAGGAGGGAGGGAAGCTGGACACCCCCATCCCGCCGTGTGCTGACCGTGCTCTGTCCGTGCAAAACCACCCCCTTGTCCTGTCCCTCCCGTAAACAGGACGAGGCATCCCTTGTCCAAAATCCATATTCCACCTCAGGAAAGCCACGTTTGTCCCTGCCGTTCTGCTGCCGGGGATTCCTGCCGCTCCTGCCTGCTGGTCCTCTGGCACTGCCTCCCTGCTGCCCCCGGAGCTCCAGGACCGCTCCGGCAGGTTTGGAGAGGGATTGCAGCGATCTGCGGGGATGAGGTCAGGCTGCTCCCGGGAGATTCCTGCTGACAGCGCCCTTTCCGTGCCCTGCTATCAACAGCAGAGCCGCACCAGCCACCGCCAGCGATGCTCCCACCCCCCCAGCTGACAGAGCTGTCTGTGCTTCCCTCAGGGCTCAGTTCCTCCACAGCTTGTCCCATCCTCCTCTGGATGCACCTGCCAGGAGCCTGGAAATGCTGGGAAAGGTCTTTGTGACGGCGCTGCTGGATCTGGGCACAGTCCCGGGGCCATCTGGGCACCGGCCTGGACCATCTGGACACCACCCTGTGCCACCTGCTCTGGGCTGACCCTGCTTGAGCAGGGAGGTGGCACCAGATGGCCCTTCCAACCTGACCCCTTGATTCTGGGATTCTGGGATTCTCTGCTCCGTGCTGCAGGTTTTCCTGCAGCTCATTTAGTTTCTCTTTGCTCCTCTTCCCCATGGTGGGGGTTTCTCTCCTGTGCAGTGGGATTGGGATTGAAAATACTCCACAAATTGTGAGGCACTCAAATATTGCACCGGTGGGGGGGCACGGAAGTGTCAGGAGAGACGAGGAATCAGCAGTGAATTCGGGATTAGGGACCTGATCCTGTAAAAACACCCATCTGAGTCTCCTCCTTCCCACGAGGGAAGCCAAGGCTCGGAGCCGGTCCCAGGAGCAAAGAGCCTCGTAAGCAGGACTGAGTCCTGGACTGGGCCATCCTGGATGCTTTGAGGATTATAAATCACATGTTGTGTGGCTTCAGAGTTGCTTTCCATGCAGCCTCTCCGTTTGTTCCCAGTTTTTTTTTTGCTCCCGGATGAGTCACCGGGAGCTGCTGCTTGTTGCACCTTCCCTGCCCCGAACCTGTGCTCTGTTTTAAGGGGTTTGAAGCTCTGCTTTTACTCTGAACCTGAAAACTCCCTCTTTTCAGTTCGACAAGTGGACAGATGGGCAGAGGAGGAGGGTCCTGGTGGAGCTGCTGGAACGCTGCTCCCTGGCCCAGCAGAAATTCTGCGCCAGGCACCTCCAGGAGAGAATTCCCACCGAGGCCGTGGATTTTACCACGAGGCTTCCTCGAGTCCTGTCCTTGTACATCTTCTCCTTCCTGGACCCACGGAGCCTCTGTCGCTGTGCACAGGTAAAAAAACAAACAAACAAACAAACAAAAAGCCCAACTTGAGGTTCAGGGCGGTTAAAAAAGAGGAAACCACCAGTTTTTGGTGAAGACACAGCACAAAAATGTGTTTGCATGAGGGAGAGTGCCATGAGGTGCTGGCCCAAAAGTGGTTCTGGATGACAAAATTCAGATATTGGTGACATTATTACTGCATTTACATAATGCCCCATGTCATGTCAAATATATACCAAAATCCCAGCTTGGCTAAACCTTTGCTGGGATATCTTTCTCCAGTGGATGCGACTCGAACTCTCCATTCACAGGCAGGTTAGGAAATGACTTTTAAAATCATGGAATATCCTGAGCTGGAAGGGTCCAGTGCCAGGAAGGCATTGACTGGTTTAAATGGTTTAATCGAGGGTTTAAATGGTTTAAGCAAAGGTTTAAATGGAGCATTGACAGTGCTGAGGAATTGGTTTAAGGACCAAGGGGAATTAAACTCCCCAGCAGGGGAGTCTGTAGCTGGAATCTTGGATGCCTGAAACCCCCAAGGTTTTCAGCTTCCAACTGGTCATTCCCAGGTGAGCTGGCACTGGAAGTACCTGTCGGAGCTGGATCAGCTCTGGATGCTGAAGTGCCTCCGTTTTGGCTGGTACATCAACTTCTGCCCCACCCCCTTCGAGCAGGGGATCTGGAAGAGACATTACATCGAGATGGTGAGAGAGCTGCGCATCACCAGGCCCAAGGTACGTGTGGTTCTGGTTCCCAACCTTCTTCCCTCCGTGTGCTTTCGGGATTCTCCTGCCCTGACCTCAAAAACTCAGCCCTGGAATTTTAAAGGATGGAATTTTAAAGGACGGAATTTTAAGGGATGGAATTTTAAGGGATGGAATTTTAAAGGATGGAGTTTTAAGCAAACTCCCTCTGTGGTCAAGAGGGAGAAGCCAGTGCATCCCAACAGCAGCTCCTCATGTAGATTGTGGGACATGGGACAAGCACTGTCAGGGGTCCATTTCTCCCCACAGTCCTTAATGGGCCTTGGGACAACTAATGTTAATTGTGACAACTCTAAAATCGGGCTAATCCCACTAAAACCTGTTTTCCTCTTTGAACCTCTCCTTCCAGCCTCTTCCCAAGGAGGAGTTCGTGGTTATCGACGTGCAGCCCGTCAGAAGCGGCGCCCCAGAGGCAAAACCCCCTGAGCAGGGGAGGAGGAGAACCAGGGAGAAGAAGGAGCTGCCCCCTTGGCGCTCGGCCGACAGACACCCCACGGACACCGTCCGCTACAACTACCTGGACAACTCGGACCCCCTGGAGCAGGCGAGGCAGGCGTAAGGGCTCCCTCTCTTCTGCTTTCTCCGGGGCTCAGGATGTCCTGTGGCATAGAATGAATCATGGAATCATGGAATTGAGGGGGTTGGAAAGGACCTCTGAGATCATTCAGTCCAACCCTCGCTCCGAGCCCGCCGTGGTTCCCAGCCCGTGGCGCTGATGCCACATCCAGCCTGTCCTGAAACACCTCCAGGGACGGGGAATCCACCCCCTCCCTGGGCAGCCCATTCCAAGGGCTGAGCACTCTCCAGGGAAAGAATCCCTTCCCCACATCCCACCTGAACCTCCCCTGGCCCAGCTGGAGGCCCAGCCCTCTTGTCCTGCTGCTGCTTCCTGGGAGCAGAGCCCCATCCCAGCCGGCTCCCCCCTCCTGGCAGGGAGTTGTGCAGAGGGATGAGGTCTCCCCTGAGCCTCCTCCTGTCCAGGCTGAGCCCCCCCAGCTCCCTCAGCCTCTCCTCATGGGAATTGTGCTCCACACCCTTCCCAGCCTCGCTGCTCTTCCCTGCCCCTGCTCCAGCCCCTCCATGTCCTTCCCGAGCTGAGGGCCCAGAGCTGGGCACGGCACTCCAGGGGTGGAGAATCCCTGCCCTGCTCCTGCTGCCACGCTCTGCCCGAGCCAGGCCGGGATCCATCGGCCCTCTCGGCCCCCCTGGGCACCCTCTGGCTCCTGTTCAGCTTCCTGGCCATCCCAGCTCCCAGCTCCCTTCCCACCTGGCTGCTCTCCAGCCCCTCTGGCCCAGCCTGGAGCTGCAGAGGATTGTTGTGTCCTCCACAGGCACAAGTCCTGGGAATGTGACAGAGCTGTAACAGGAGATCCAGGTGTGACCTCACGGGCTCAGTCAGGGCTTTGACTGTAAAATATATCGATATAGGGAGCTTTAATACCTGGAGATTCAGTCGTGGGCTTATTCCCCAGAGGTATCTTTTATTGATAATTTAGGGGAAGAAAATAAGGGAACCTGGCAAAAGTTCAAAAGGGCGCCACACAAGCTGGACAAAAATGTTCCACCACAGCACTGAGCCAGCACAGACTGATCCACAAGACTTGAGTCAGAATCCAACCCCTCCAAAACACCTGAGGTAAAATCCACCCCCCTTCCCAGCTCCAAGGCACCCAAAGCACCAAGGAAGGAGCACAGGAAGAGAAGCAGAGGGGGGAGCAAGAAGAGAGGAGGGGAAAGAGGGAGAGAAGGATTATGGAGCTACCACTGGGACCTTGTGGAAGACCAGGGGCTCCAGGGGCTGTGGGGTGTTTTATGTAACAAGAGTTTGCTGAAGACTTTCTAAACAGAGCTACAGAGTCCAGAGGAATCTGCAGTTTTTGCACAGAAGAATGAATTAGTTGTGATGGGACGTAATTCCATCACTTCTGGGACCTTCTGGCTGGAATGAGGTTTTGGTGATTGAACTGCAGGGCAGGTGACAGAGGATGTGTGACCTACAGAACATTTAAGTAATGAACAGTATCTGTATCTCCACTGCCTAGATCCATCAGTTCCTGGGCTCAGGGATGACCTGGTCAGGCACTGGCAGAAGGAAATTTCCCCCCACAGAGCAGAGTTTTTCACACTGATCCGTGTCGGGACAGCCCCACATTTTCCCTTCCATCAGAGATTTTCCAAATCTTAGGTCTGTGGTCACGTTCCTGCGCATTAACAAGCAGCAGCAGGAGCAACAGGGAGGCTGCAAGATGTCACCTGTGGGAAGTGTTCCCCCATTTCTTGTTCGAGTCCCTGTTGGTGCCACCTCTGATGTTTCTCGGCAGCCGATGGGAAACGCTGACACCGCCACGGATCCGAGCCTGGGGAGCAGGAGATGGATCAGCCTGGCCATTTCCCAGTCCCTGTGGGAATCCCTGGGGAAAGGACTGCCCAGACACAGCTGAATGCGCAGAGAGCAGGAGATTCCTCCTCCCCGTGCCAACAAAAACCTTGGGAACCAACCAAGCCCCGGCGAAAGCGCCCGGGTTGCGTTAAAGTAAATAACTGATAGAGCCAAGATTATCCCCGTGCACAGCAACAATCAGCCTGTGAATTACCCCAGCCGGGGATTACTTGGCAAGTTGTGCTCTTGTGCAGCCCTTCCCCGATGGGATTAACTCTGCTGGACCCAGCTCTCCTCCGGGCTGTTCCCCAAACGTTCCCAGTGCGGGAGCAAAAAGCCTTTTATGAATCACGGTTTTAATCCGCGTCCCCTGGTCCGTGGGTATTGCACTTTTACTTCAAAGAGCTTCCCAGTTTCCACCTCACCCTCTTTCTGTGGTGCTTTTCCAAGCTCCAGCACCGCTTTTGGGCCGAGCCCTTTGAGGCTTTTCACTAAACAGTTGGCCCAAAACGCCTCCCGTGGCCAAACAAACATCCCGGCGTTGTTTTCCTAAATATAAAGTTGTTCTAAACATTTTTTTTTTTTTTTTTTTTTTGTGAGGCAGCAGCTCCTAAAGGTTTCTTGTGAGGTTTAGGGTTTCTCTTGTGCTGGCCATGAAAAAAAAAGTGGAACAAAAACCCTGTCTGAAGAGTTTAAAAGCCACCTTTTTCCCAGCGTGGAGCTGTGGATGCAGCTGAGAACCAGAGGCAGACAACACACTCAGTGAGTTCCCTCCCAAGTGAGAGCTGAGCCTCTCTCCGTTTGTGCAACGTTCCGGTAAATCTGGCATTTATCCTCAATTACGGGGGATTATCGCAGGGAGAGAAAGGAATTCGGTGAGATTTGCTTGTTTATCGAGGATCTGCCTTTAATATCAGAGGTAATTGCTGCTGCCTGGGCTCCTCTGCAGGGATTATCCAGCAGCACAGGTGCAGCATTGCAGGTGCTGACCCAGCTTCCCACACTGATGTTTGGATGTTTTGGATGTTTGGATGCTTCTTTTCCATGGATGCATCCCCTCTGCCGCCTTTTCCCAGGAATCCTCCCAGGAAAGGCTCCTTTATCGTGTTCTCCGCCCGTTGCTCAGGGTGGCCCTCTGGGCTGTGTGCTCTGCACGACCCACGGACCCCCCAAAACCCGTGCCCAGGTCTGGCTGGCTGAGCTTGGAATCTCCCGGGAATGCCGTGCGAGCTGCTCCAGGCTAGGAAAGACCCTGCCCTGAACCGAGGAGGGAGAAGAGAAACCCGAGCCAGCAATCTCCACCCTCCCCGGGCGGTGTCAGGTGCGGTTGTTCCTCAGATTAGACGGATTCTTGGGATGCCCGAGGGCACAACAACCAAACCCCCTCATGTAAAATGGATGTCGGAGGCAACAAAACTCCCCCCCCTCGTGTAAAACGAGACGCTAAAACAGCTTCCCAAGGTTTGCTGGGGGGAATCTGGCGGGGGGAAAAGGGATTTGCTGAAGGGAGAGAGGCGGGAGGGTTTTCTCGAGGTCATGGGGGTGGGTGAGAGACTCGCAGGAAAGCAGGAGAGAGGCACAAAACGACGGCAGGGAAAAGAATGACAGGAGAGAACAGCGCAGATCTGAGAGCCACCAAACCACTGGGGTTGTGCTGCGCCCAGGAAAACCGGGCTCTTGGGAACAAACGGGGATCACATCAAAGGGATTCCTGACGCCACCATCAAAGCAAGGTGCGGGACCAGTCACCGGGATCAAAGTTAATCCGCCTAATTTCAGGGGAAATTTTGCAGGATTTAGGAGGTAATGGAAAACAAAACAAAAAAAAAATCCGGTTTTTCGTAACTCTTGGGCCTGGTTAAAATGTGCCCTGAGCTCGGGCTCACTCTGAGCTGGGTTTCTGGTCCAGGGACAGGGGAGGTCTCTGCTGGTCATCAAGTCAAGGGGTCCCTGCTGGAATATTGGCTTTTAATGGCAGAGTTCGTGGAGTCCCAGGATGGTTTGGATGGGAAGGGATCTTAAAGCTCATCCAGTTCCACTTCCCTGCCGTGGGCAGGGACACCTTCTGCTATCCCAGGTTGCTCCAAGGGAATCCAGCCTGGCCTTGGACACTTCCAGGGATCCAGGAGCAGCCACAGCTTCTCTGGGCAACCTGTGCCAGGGCCTCAGCACCTTCAAAGGGAAGAATTCCTTCCCAATCTCCCATCTGTCCCTGCCCTCTGGCAGTGGGAAGCCATTCCCTGTGTCCTGTCCCTCCATTCCTTGTCCCAAGTCCCTCTCCAGCTCTCCTGGAGCCTCTCTGGGCTCTGGAAGGGGCTCCAAGGTCCCCCTGGATCCTTCTCTTCTCCAGGTGTCCTCATGAATCCGGTGTGGGAAGGGAATTTAAAGATCCTCTTGTTCCACAGAATCACAGGATGGTTTGAGTTGGGAAGGACCTTAAAACTCATCCAGTTCCACAGGCAGGGACACCTCCCACTGTCCCAGGTTGCTCCAAGCTCCATCCAACCTGGCCTTGGACACTTCCAGGGATCCAGGGGCAGCCACAGCTTCTCTGGGAAATCCATCCCAGCCCCTCCCCACCCTCACAGCCAAGAATTCCTTCCTAATATCTCATCTAAATCTCTCCTTTTTTTAGTTTAAAACTGTCCCCCCTTGTCCCATCACTGTCTGCCACCTGTGATGACACAGATTTGCCATCTCTTTCTTCCTTGTCCTTTTGGGACAAGCCTTTCTCCACGTGGTCCCTTCCCCAGCAGCATCAGAGCAGCCCTGCTGAGAATTCCCAGCTCAGAACTTCTCCCTGCTCAGCCAGAAAAAAAGAAAGTGGAACATGGGAAGTGGAACAAGCTACAGTGAATTCTCGATTCCACAGGGGAGTGGAGATGAAGGGAGTCCTGTAAATGGTAACACAGGACATATTCTTCGGGCTATAAAGCCATAATTGGATGTTTAGCTTTGAAGAAAGAAGCCAGCAGATTTCTGGGGAGCAGCTGGGGGAGGGTTGGGCCTGGATGGTGCTGGTGCTTCGTGTCTCTGGAAGGAAGAACCATCACACTGTCCCAGAAAATGGCAGAGAGGTGTCCATCTGCAGTCTGGGTGATAATTGAAAGCTGGTTTTTTTGTCTTTTCTGATGGATTTCTTGGCTTCTTGCTCAGCAAGTAACGAGCCCGTGCTCTGAAAACGGAGAGGCAGCAACCACTGGAGGAGATTGGGTGGAATGAAGGAGATGGGACGGAGAATCCCCCAGAATGTGCCCTGGGAGGTTGGTGGGTTGGGCTGGCACAGTGTGGGAAAAGCTTGGCAGTCCCTGAGCAGCGAAATTAAGAACAGAAATGATCGGATGCACAGCCCAGGGAGTGGTGAGGTGGTAGAGGAGAGACCCAGGCAGGGCCTGGATTGCAAATTGCCTGGGAAGGGGTTATCAAAATCCCTCAGCTGAGTTTTGGCCGTGCCTGTTGGAGTTGCACTTTATCACTGGGGGTGGTTTCTGCTTTGTTTTCTGCCTGGATTATCCCAGTAGCTTTTTGTTATATCCCCCCCCCCGCAAAAAAAAAACAACCCACAACACCTCCCAGAGATCAGCAAGGATTTGTCTCTTTGGGCACGAAGAAATCCTGCAAAGGGGAAGGGAGAGAGTGAAGTGTGGAAGAGAAGGAGGAAATCTCCCTGTGGGACTCTGACCTGCCCCCGAGGGACCAGGAGGGGCTTTTTTCAGTCCTGGATCTGCTGGGAGGCATCTGGGGCTTGTGCTGCCAAGGAACCAAAAGATTTGCCTCCCTCACTTCGTCGTGAATGATGGATTCCAATCCTGGATCCCTGCCAGGACCGTGTCCCTGTGTCCCAAGAAAGGGCCCTGCTGCCTCTCACGGCAACAGCTCAGCCCAAAATTCAACCTCCTTCCCCGCCCCTCCCCTCTCCCAGCCAGCTCTCCCGGGGCTTCTGCAAGGCAGCACTAATTCAGTGGGATAATTTATGGACGTGGGCTGGCTCCAAAAAACAGTTGCATATTGTCCTGGAGTGTTTACCCAACGAGAAAATAATTACTTGCAGTTAATTGTTCCGTGGGCAAGGCCCTGACAAAGAGGGGGGCTCCGCTCGCTGGCGTGAGAAGGACGTGGTCGCATCCCTGCCCTCCGGAATCCCAACGCTTGGCTCCTGCTCTTCCCAGTCCTCTGGGCCTGCTGGGCTCGTGGGGGTGTAAATTATTCCTGAAGGGAAAGGTGAAAAACGGGAGGAAAAAGGGGGTGAGAATCGCCGAGTTCAGGGCTGGCGGTGATGGAGCTGCCGTTCCCATCCGGGCTCCCATCCTCGTTCCCTGAGTTTTCCAGCCCTTGGAATGGGATTGTGGTGGGGACCTGCTGCAGGAGGAGAGGTTGATATCCTCACTTCCAACCACGAGGCCAGGTCTCCTTTCTGTCTAAAGGTCACAGGGTGCTTTAGGATGGAAAAGACCCTCAAGGTCGAGTCCACCCATCGGGCCCCCCGGGACGAGCAGTTCGATCCCAGCTGGAATATTCTGGATTGAATTTTCTCCCTCGGCTGTCGGTGCTTGTAAACAGGTTGCAGTTTGCCTCCATTTCTTATTTGGAATAATTGGGATTCACGGCTCTAGACCTGCAGCTGGGATGAGGGATGAGGGAATACCAGGCACGTGCTGGGGGTGGCTGATTTTGGGGATGTGTTGTGTGTTGTGAGGGAGGATCCTGCTGCTTCTCAGGAGAAATGTTGCTTTCTGAGTGATTCCACCCTTCCCATCCATGATTTTGGACTCCCACTGTGCTTTCCAGCATTCCTTCCAGGAGCCCAGAGACACCGGGAGACACAATAGGGAATTTGCTGCCTGAAATTCCCTAATCCTGTGGGATTGGAATGTGGAAAGGGAAGGAGATCCTTCAGAGGGGCTGATGGACCTGCCTGAGCTCTTCAGAAACCTTCCCAGGGTCTGGATTTTACTCCTGAGAGTGGAAAATTGGAGCAGCTGCTCATATCCCAGCGTGATTCCCTGCATTTCCACACTGGAATATTCCTGTCCTGACACTTAATCATGTTGGCTTTAATAACAGCTGCATGTAAATGTCTAACCTGATAAATTTATGGGCATCCACAAGGCTGTGTGAGCTCAAGAAGAGCTTGGACAACGCTCTCAGGGACATGGTGGGATTCTGGGAATGTCCTGGGCAGGGCCAGGAGTTGTTGGACTGGATGATCCCAGTGGGTCCTTCCCAGCTCAGGACATTCCATAATTCCATGATTTTATATATTTGTCTAGTTAGATAATTTAAACATCTTTATATTTAATATGTAATGATATGTAATTACATATAATTATATTGCCATATATCATTATATAATATATATTTACATGTGTTTATATATTTAACATGGTTTTTAAATTTATGGTATTTGTATATTTCGATATTTCAGGTATATTTAGATCGAATATATAATTATATATAATTACACATAGTTATATATCATTGCACAATATATATTTATATGCATTTATATATTTAACATAGTTTTTAAATGTATGTATTTGTATATTTAGATATTTTAGATATATTTTGATTTAACATGGTCTCTTCAGTTGTGGCTCCTCAGGTGGCAACGGCGCGAGGGATTTTCCTTTTTTTTTTTTTTTTTTTCTCCATCCCAGGGAAGCAATTCCAGAGCTTTTCCTGATCCTGTTGTGTTGGTCTCTGCAGGAGAAGGAAGGGAGGAGGGGAGAGCCCGGATCTGAGCCGAAGGGCAGCCGAGAGGAAAAGGAGAGCGGCACGTGCATCCCACCAGCTCCGGAGGGACAAATCCCCGGCAAGTATCTCCAGCCTGGAATTGGATCGGCTGGCTCCGTGTCGAGCGCTCCCAGGAACATCTGAGCTGCAAGTTTGCACTTTAGGGAAGAGCTCCTGATTGTAAAATCATGGAATTATGGAATGTCCTGAGCTGGGAAGGACCCACTGGGATCATCCAGTCCAACAACTCCTGGCCCTGCCCAGGACATTCCCAGAATCCCACCATGTCCCTGAGAGTGTTGTCCAAGCTCTTCCTGAGCTCACACAGCCTTGTGGATGTCCATAAATTTACCAGGTTAGACATTTACATGCAGCTGTTATTAAAGCCAACACGATTAAGCATCAGGACAGGAATATTCCAGTGTGGAAATGCAGGGAATCACGCTGGGATATGACCAGCTGCCCCAATTTTCCACTCTCAGGAGTAAAATCCAGACCCTGGGAAGGTTTCTGAAGAGCTCAGGCAGGTCCATCAGCCCCTCTGAAGGATCTCCTTCCCTTTCCACATTCCAATCCCACAGGACAGAATTAGGGAATTTCAGGCAGCAAATTCCCTATTGTGTCTCCCGGTGTCTCTGGGCTCCTGAGAGGAATGCTGGAAAGCACAGTGGGAGTCCAAAATCATGGATGGGAAGGGTGGAAACACTCAGAAAGCAACATTTCTCCTGTGAAGGAGCAGGATCCCCCCTCACAACACACAACACATCCCAAAATCAGCCACCCCCAGCACGTGCCTGGTATTCCCTCATCCCTCATCCCAGCCCAGCTGCAGGTCCAGAGCCATGAATTCCCAATTATTTCAAGTAGAAAATGAAGGAAAAGTGTTTATAAATATATATTTATAAATAATCAAGGGTGGGGAGGGGACAGCGACCTCGTTCCCTGCCCCTCCCTCCCTCTGCTCCTGATGAAGGAGCCTCGGGAAGCCTCAGCCTTCCAGAAAACTCCATGGATGGGTTTGTTTTTTTTTGTGGATGTGGCAATGAGGAACTGCCAGAAGAAGAACATGTTTGAGGACGTATTGGGGGATTTCAGGAAGCAGAGCCAGGAATGTGTTTTTCCAGGAAAAACATCTTTTTTGTGGTTTTTTTTTTTGTGGGAAGGGGTGGGAGGTTTTACATAAAAGAGGCTCCTCCCGACCCCAATCCCAGCCTGTTTGCAAGGAAAAGGATTCAGTGACTGTGAAATGACATAAATAATAATAATTATTCAGACAGTTTCCACTCTCCAGGGGTTCCCTCCACGGATTCATCCCACCACATCTCCCCCTTTCACGTTTAAAGCTGTTTTATTGGCAGTCCTGAAGAGAAAAAAAAACAAAACAAAACAAAATAACTCTCAGTTCAGGCCTAAAATAAGTTAATTTGATTTCTTCCTCCCCCCTCCCAGATTTTACCAAAGTTATTGCTCTTCAGAGTTAATGAAGGCACAAGCACCTTGGGCTGGAATTCCAAAGGCTTCTGTTCCTCCTGATTTTGGAGCTGTCCACATTCCAGTGGAAGAGCTGGGCCTTTTATTCTCACACTACACCTCCTTTAATGACAACAGCACTGCTAGAAAATAAAGCTGAAGGTTACACCAGGCTGATGCACAGAAAAAGAAAATAAATATATATATATATATAAATAAAAACATAATTCACCAGGAATAATCCAAAATTAATTTCCATTTGTTATTAAGGCAGCATTGGGAAACCTTTGAAAAGGCTCTTATTTAATCAAGTCCAAATAAAAGAGGCTTAATGTGCAAATCTTTCAGTAAATCCTCAGAAGGAAAAAAAACAGACCGTGATGAAAGAATAAGTGCCCAAGGCAGGCAAACATCGAGTCAAATTAAAAGGCAGCCCTTCAATAGGTCGGTGATTCAAGTGCAGAGAGCAGGTGAGAATAAAGTGAATTACAGAAAGAGGGTTCTTAGAGGGAGCTCCCGGCTCAGGAGGCATCAACAACACCACCCCAAAATGGGCTAAAAACCCCTCATTAGGGTGATGATGAAGTGCTGGAATTGCATCCACATTTGCATGGGGTGAATCAGCTCCCCCCCACCCTTGGAAAAGCCGGGAGGTTTGGGAGTCTGTTTGTGATGGTGGAGAGCACAAAATGCCACCACTTCATTTGGAATAAATGAAAGTAAATGAGCTCAATTACAAGGCACGGTAAATTGCGAGGAATTAAGTTAATTAGGGCTGTGAATGAAGGGCCACGTTCCTCCCTAGGAAGGCACAGGAACCCCTCTACGTCTCTGCAGCGGGGAGAGAATTGGTGTTGTGGAGTAAAAAAATCACATTTATAATGGGCAGAAGATGAAGGTCCAGGGCTCTCAGCACCCACAGGTGGCCCTGCCCAATGTCCATTTATTTATCTTCTGCAAACCCTGTTTTCGATTTTATTGGCCCAAGACGATAATTTCGGTTCGCTTTTCTTACTGAATGATTTGTATCAACCCACCAAGTGGGTTGGTCTCAATAACCCGTGGGGTTTTTGTGAATCTCGGGGGATCTTCCTCAAGGAATAAACTGTGATGGTTAGATTTTATTATTATTATTATTATTGTTATTATTTGATTAATTTGGATCTTCTGTTAAAATACATTTCATCCTTTACGCTGAGGCACTTCCAAACACCAAGCAAGGCCGGGATCAGCCACAGCCACGTGCACAGGGGAAGGGGGGGAAATTGGGGAATTAACATCTGAATTGCTGTGGAGAAATAATTAATTAATTAATTAACATGGGTTCAGCTTTACTGGCATCAGTTTTTAGTGGGGTCCTTTTGTCCTCCAGGTAAACTTATCCCCCCAGCACAGGCTGCTGTAAATAAAACACATCGTGCTTGTATCATCTAGGGATAAAATGTGTAGGATGTACAGAATTTAGGGAAGTTCTCAGTGGATTCCGAGCTTTCCGCCCTCTGAAGCTGTTGGGGATGTTGGTGTTGTCTTCTCTCCCCAGATGTGGCTTCCTGCAGATCCTGGGTGTCTTCCAAAGCCACCAGCTCGTCCCAGCTGGGCCGCTCACGGCTCCAACGGGAACCTGCCCCCCAAGGCCCTGGCCCAGAGCTCCCGGTGGAACGCCGGGATTCGACCGGCGCCCGTCCGAGCTCCGGCGCCAAAGCCCCGTGGGAGAGGGACTGGAGGTGCCACCAGGATGGAGAGCAGAGCTCCACGTCAGTAAGATGTCCTGTCCCGTGGGGAGGCTGTGCTAGAGCCCGGCAATGTCCGGATCGTGGAATCGTGGAATGGTTTGGGTGGGAAGGGACTTTGAAGCTCATCCAGTTCCACTCCCTGCCGTGGGCAGGGACACCTCCCACTAGACCAGGTGGCTCCAGCCTGGCCTTGGACACTTCCAGGGATCCAGGGGCACCCACAGCTTCTCTGGGAATTCCAGCCCAGCCCTCCCCACCCTCCCAGCCAGCAATTCCTTCCTAATCTCCCATCTGTCCCTGCCCTCTGGCAGTGGGAAGCCATTCCCTGTGTCCTGTCCCTCCATTCCTCATCCCCAGTCCCTCTCCAGTTTTCCTGGAGCCCCTTTAGGCTCTGGAAGGGGCTCTCAGGTCTCCCTGGATCCTTCTCTTCTCCAGGTGAGCCCCCCCAGCTCTCCCAGCCTGGCTCCAGAGCAGAGGGGCTCCAGCCCTGGGAGCATCTCCGTGGCCTCCTCTGGACTCTCTCCAGCAGCTCCACGTCCTGGTGCTGTTGTTCCCCAGGGCTGGGGGCAGCTCTGCAGGTGGGGTCTCACCTGAGGGGGCAGAGGGGCAGAATCCCCCCCTCCCCTGCTGTGGGATGAGCCCAGGACATGAGGGGGCTTTCTGGCCTGGAGCTTGTTGAGCTTTTCATCCACCATCACCCCCAGGCCCTTCTCCTCAGGGATCCTCTCCATCCCGTCATCCCCAGCCACGTCTGTGCCTGGGATCAAGCGATCCCACCGTCCTTGTCACCAGCAGAGCTGTTCTTTAGAGCCCAGGGGGAAGGAGGTGACACTGTGGGAATGCAGGTGACAGGGATTTGCTGCGTCGGGAGAGAACTTGGGGCCAGGGATGTCCCACCCAGCACTTCCCAAACCCCTCCCTGTCCCAACTGTTCATCTTGGAATGATCATGGGCACGGGCCCCACAGGGGTTTAACTCCCCAACAGCGCCTGGCAGAGCGAGGGATGGGGCTGGGAGCTCCATCCAAAGGCCAGGAACTCCCCCAGGTCCTGGAGAGAAGCCCGGAGGAGCTGGTGGGGTTGGGTTTGGAAGCAGAGCCCTCAGCAAATTCCAGCAGGGAGCAGTGAACTGCAGGCAGGCAGGGAACAGCTGAGGAAGCAGCTGATCCAGGAACACCTCCCAAAAATAAGGATGCAGAACGACGTGATTCCCAAGAATTTTGTGCTGTTTCAGTCTGGGCTTGGCTTGGGAAGCTCTCCATGTCTCCTGAAGGTCCTCAGTGTCTGCAGCCCCCTGGAAAAGCCTTTTGGGTACCTCTGAGAAGCACCAACGTTTGTGGAGGTTTGGGGGAAAGTCCTCTGGGTTCACAAGTGGGTTTTAACGACTTAATTACGGTTTTAATCCGTAAGGATTAAAATCTGCGAGCCCTGAGGGTTTTTTTTGGTTGTGCCAGAAGGATGAAGAACCTGGAGGGAACAAAGGAAAATGGGATTCTGATGGGACACTGTTAGGATGCTCAGGGAGATCACAGAGGTGCAGGGCAGAGCTCCTACAATTGTCCAGTAATTATTGGTGATCCCATCTAGAAGGGAGATGATGGAGCACATGGAGAGCTCCAGCATCCCTCTGGATCTCCCTGGAATCTGGCATTTTTAGCAGGTCCACAGGCTGATTTCCATGAGCAGGAAGTGAGTGATCACAAACCCTCCCGTGGGAGATGAAAGGATCTAAACACAGCTGAAGGGAAAAGCACTGGGATGAGAAAGGTTGGATTGGATATTGGGAACAATTCCTTCCTGGAAAGGGCTGTCCAGCCCTGGCACAGCTGCCCAGAGCAGTGGTGGATTCCCATCCCTGGAGGGGATTTAAAATCCCTGTGGATGTGGCACTTGGGGACATGGGTCAGTGGTGGCCTTGGCAGTGCTCAGGGAAAGGTTGAACTCAATGATCTTGGAGAGGTTTTCCAAACTAAACAATTCCATGAATGAGGCCTAAGGAAAACACACACAGACCTCTCCATGTGGGAAGCAGGACATAAATGCATCCTGGCCATAACAGCACCAGGATCAGCCCAGAGGGTCACGGTCCCTCTCAGTGCTAAAGCCACACAAGGTCCCTACAAAACAGGACCCTCCTCCTGGAATTCTCAGCCTGGACAGAGCTGTGGGAATGTTGTGACCTTGGATGGGGGTGTTGGCTGTTCCAGCCAATCCAGGGAATTCTGCTGGTCTGGCAGCAGGGTTGGGGTGGCTTCCCAGGAACGCATCGCTCGGCTCCGGAGGGAATGGGAATTGGGAATGGGAAGGAGGTGTTTGAGTCTCTGTGCTGCTGAGGGGGGGTTAGAGCTGGCAGAGAGGATGTGGGAGCACAGGGAATTCCTGCAGGGATGTGGCCACCCACAGTGACCGTTGCTGGTGCCATAAAGGTGGAGGGAACTGGAGCCTGCCGGGATGTGCTGGTCCGGCTTCAGGTGTGGCCGGATTCCCTCTGCATGGCAGGGAATTCCCTGCGTGAGGAGAGGGTTAGAGGGGAAGCAAACGACCTTCAAACACCACCGTGGTAAAAAAAATCCCGAGGAAATGATCCCTGAGGGATTGCATTTGGATCAGGGGAAATTTGCAAGGCAAAGCGATGTAATTTGTTCATATCTGAGAGAGACAAATCCCATCTTCATTCCTTCGGTGACCTCTCCAGGACCCCTGTGAGCTCTGCCAGGCTTTTCCCGAGGTAAACTTTACCTGGGCTTTGCCAGGGAGTGTCTGCAGATTGCCAGGAAGCGGCAGGAAAAGTAAAGATGTTTTTGATGGACACCGATTTTCTCCGTAATGAGATGAGGGAGGGAAATAATCCAGATTTGCAAAGGTATTCGAGGTATTAAATGCCACCAAAACCCCAAGGATTGGCTGAGCACCTAAACAGGGTTAGGATGTGAATTCTCTGCCTGAGTTAATCTGATCCCAACGTTATTTCTCCTTCCTCCAGCATCTCCAGTGTTCGAGGCTCAGCCCTGGCACATTCCTGCATCCAGCCAAGGATCCGACTCGGAATGAGGGAGGATCCAGAGCGTCCTTCACCCCAGCAGGACTGAAACTTCTCTGCCTGGCAGTGGGAAAACAAAATGTTGCTGCTGGTCTTCGGGATCTCGACCTGGTTTCCTGTTGCTGGTGCTTTATTCTCTTCTTCCTTCCGGATGTGTCACCCCTGAAATGTTCGCTTGGAATTCTGACCGTGGAGGAGACGCTTGCTCGGATCCTTCCTAGGGCTGCTGGACCTCGTGTGAGCTTTTCCATGGATCACCTGGACAAATCTCAGGGCACATCCCACGGCCTGAGCTGCTCTGTGATGCTTTGCCAGGGAATCACGGGAATTGTCTGGCTCTGTGGGCACCCATGGGGTTGTGGGAGATGAGGGATGACTTCCAGCTGTTGGAATGATGGAAATTCTACCCTCCCTACGACTTGAGTGCTTTACCACCAGTACTGCCATGATCCTTCAGCTGAGACCTCCAGCTCCTGCCAAATCAGCTGGGAAGCAACCAGGGAAGAGCGTGGAAGAATCAAGGAAAACACTCCAAGGAAAACACGGATCGGGCTGTGCTGGGAACAGAATTTCTCCCTCATGCTGAACAAGGCAAATCCACCTTCCCAATCGTGTTAGTGAGAAGGAAATCAAATCTCCACCCCCCTCTGGATTGCAGCACGTGGATCCACGTGGGGAGCTGGCACTTGTTATTTAGGAGGAGGTAAATCATGGGCTGTTCCTGGTTTTTTTTCTGGGATTAAGGTATTTCCTGGTAGATTCAACAAATAGCTGTTTTTAAGGATAAGAGGATTGAATGCTCAGCAACTGTAACTCATTGCCTGGTCATAGCCCAGAGTGAAAGAGCTGGGATAAAACTGAACCTTTCTGGGTGTTGGGAAAAGCCCCAGAACACCCAGGAATCCTCAGTATTTCCCACTCCAGAGGGAATGCCAAAAGCCCAGAATCATTAAGGCTGGAAAAGACCTTCAAGATCATCAAGTCCAACCATCAACCAGCACCACCCCCGTGTTCACCCTTCAACCACGTCCCCAGGTGCCACATCCACGTGGTTTTTGAAGACTTCCAGGGGTGGGGACTGTTCCAATGCTTTACAACCCTTCCCATGAAGAAACTGTTCCCAAAATTGCTCCAAATCATTGATGAGGCAACTCAGTGAATCTCCTTTTCCCAGACTTTGGTGTTTCCTTTTCCCAGTTGTCCTGAGTGTTTGGAAGGACGAGTTCATCTCAAAAAACATGACAGCCTAAGAACTAACAAGCCTGAGCTGTCACCTCTCAGAGGATCAGCTGAACCAGGAACTTGCAGATGGGAATCACCTCGTGGATTTTAGGATCTCTTGATTATCTGTTGACTAATGAATTTTGATTAGGAAAGCCAACTGCTGAGCAACTGAAGTGAGACGGGGCAAATCCCAGCCAAAACATTCATCAGCATCATTCCCTGCTATTCCAAACCTCTCCTCACAGGCCTTTTTTATTCCCAGGAAACCAAGGTAAAAGGATTGCTCCATGGGTGCTTCCTTGGCTTCTTAAGGAGCTGTTCCAGCTCTTTTTCTGGTCTCCATGAGGCACAAACAGCAAACAGCTACTCAAGGCAAGGATGTAACCCTGCAGCAATGCTTTTCCTTTCTCACCAATGACCACATTCCCTGGAATCATCCAGCTCCCAGGGTCCTGGAGGAGAGTCCTGGACATCACTGTGCCTTTGCTGCAGCAGATCATGCACCTAGAAACGCTCACTGTACATTTTAAACCTTAGACCTTCCCTGACTGATCAAGTTTTTTTGTAGTTCTGATGGTGTAAATTAACAAACGGGGACGTGCCAAGCCAAGGGGATTATCCCCGAGATAACAGCGGGGCTACACAACGCCCTGGCGGGATCCTACTAATCAGAATTAAATCACACACACCTGAAACACATCGTGTGGAATGTACTGTGTGTAAAAGCCAACATAAAACATACCCGACGTCACTCCCGAGGTCACCAAACGGCTCAGAATCTGAATCAGTGGAAAGCAATAAAATCCAGAGGGAGAGTCTCCCTCACCTGGGAGCTGCTGGAAGTCACATCCCCCCGGGCTGGTGGTTGTTTCCCCCAGCCTTGCAGCGTTTCCAGACGCGCGGATAAGGAGCTGCCAAACCAGAACAGAGGGAGGCGGCTGTGCCCTCGCCCTTCCTCGTAGATGCGCATTTCCCAGCCCGGCCCGGCATTCCCAGATCCTGCCGCATGGATCTCATCAGTCACAGCCTTCGAGTGGAGAAGCGAAGGTGCCTTTGGAAGCCCAGAGGCCACTGAATCAATCAGCTGAATTCCAGCGGCAGGAGCAGGGTCGGGATGTTGAGCTACAGCCCTGCTGAGGGGTGGGGAGCAAACCCCGACCCTCCAATCCCCTGTCCTGCCAGAGCTTTGCCCCCAGCCCAGCCCGGCATTCCCAGATCCTGCCCCGTGGATCTCATTATCCACAGCTTTTGAGTGGAGAAGCGAAGGTGCCTTTGGAAGCCCAGAGGCCACTGAATCAGCTGAATTCCAGCGGCAGGAGCAGGGTCGGGATGTTGAGCTACAGCCCTGCTGAGGGGTGGGGAGCAAACCCCGACCCTCCAATCCCCGTCCTGCCAGAGCTTTGCCCCCAGCCCGGCATTCCCAGATCCTGCCCTGTGGATCTCATTATCCACAGCTTTTGAGTGGAGAAGCAAAGGTGCCTTTGGAAGCCCAGAGGCCACTGAATCAATCAGCTGAATTCCAGCGGCAGGAGCAGGGTCGGGATGTTGAGCTACAGCCCTGCTGAGGGGTGGGGAGCAAACCCCGACCCTCCAATCCCCTCTCTCCTGCCAGAGCTTTGCCCCCAGCCCGGCCCGGCATTCCCAGATCCTGCCCCGTGGATCTCATCAGCCACACAAAGCCTTTGAGTGGAGAAGCGAAGGTGCCTTTGGAAGCCCAGAGGCCACTGAATCAATCAGCTGAATTCCAGCGGCAGGAGCGGGATCGGGATGTTGAGCTACAGCCCTGCTGAGGGGTGGGGAGCAAACCCCGACCCTCAAACCCCCCTCCTGCGGGAGCTTTGCCCCCCAGCCCGGCCCGAAGCTCCGCCCGCAGCGCCCCGGGGTGCGGGGCCCGGAGGGACCGCGGGGTTGGAGTTCGGCCCCGGAGCCAAAATGAAGTTTATCCTGATTATTGCTGGAAGGGGCTGTGTGTAACTCCCGGGAGCTGCAGGCTGGGTTGAAGCGAGGATTTCGGGGAATGTGCAGCCTTTGTGGGGAGGTGGGGGGGGTTGAGCTGCTGCCACGCGGGTGGGAACGTTTGGAGAGGGAGGTGTGGGATAATGGATTAAAGGATGGCCGTGGAGGAGCGTGGAGACCTCGTGGCAAAGGGAAAGCAGCCGGTGGGAGGAGTTAAATCCACATTAAAAACTGCTTTAATCAGTGATGGAGCTGATGAGGAACAGAGAGCAAAGCTCAGCTCGGTAAAGAAGGGCTGAGATGAGGAGGCAGCCACAGGTGAGAGGGATTGCTTTTAGGGAGGCGCAGGGATGTGGGAATTGGTTTGGAGTCAGGCACCTTGTCCCTGCTGACGTGTTGAGAGCCATCACTTTATTGTAAAATAAAAAGAAATTTAAAAAGGAGAAAGAAATAAAATAAAAAGTAAATTGTAAAATAAAAATTAAAAATTAATTACTAAATAAAATAAGAATGAAAATAAATAAAAATTTAAAATTAAATAAAAAGGAGAAAAGAAATAAAATAAGAATAAAACGTAAAATAAAAATAAATTACTCAATAAAAATGAAAATAAAAGGAAATAAAAATAAATAAAAATTTTAAAATGAAATAAAAATAAAAAATAAGTTACTAAATAAACTAAAAATTAAAAATACAAATAAACACAAAAAAAACCTAAAAATAAAAAATAAACTAAAAATAAAACTAAAAATAAAAAATAAATTAAAAAATTAAAAATAAACCCAAAAATTAAATTAAAAATAAAAACGAGTGTCCTTGGCTCAGGACACTCGGGAGACCCCCGGGAGAGGCCAAACCACGGCACAGGCAGGTCCAGGCACTGCAGGGCACTCCCAGCACATCCTGCAGGGACGAAGCTCAGTTCCAGCTCTCCAGAAGTGTCCTGGAGGGAGGAGGCTGTGGTGGGAGGGGAGAGTTTAATTCCTATTTTCAACCTGTTCCGTGCTGGGATCTGGGGAGATGGTGCCACCCAGGGAGGGGAGGAAGGTGGGATGATCATGGATAGAGGACCACGTGCTCTCCTCCCTCCCTGAAACCCCTGCTGGCCCCTCCGTGCCCAGTCCTGACCCTGATCCCCAAAATCCTCACATCAGCCCACAGACCCAGGGGTTTGCATGGAAAACTTTTTACCAGCCCAGAAATCCCAAGACCAGGTCCCGTGGCCATTTCCAGCGTCTCCCTTCAGTTTTATCTGTCATTTGGTGGTGGTTTTTTTAAATTTTGGAGGCCTGTTTTTCCTTGCTGCTTGTTCTCTCCCCCTCGGCAGCCCTGTTGTTTCATGTCCCCTCTGCTCACAGGATCCACCAGAATCCAGAGGTTGACCAGGACACCACCAGCAAGGAAATTTGGGAGCTGGAGGCACCAGCAAGGCTCTGGCTCACAGCAAAAACCAAACAAAAGTTGTTCCCCACATAGGATGTAATTCAGCTTTGGAATTCTCTGTCTCCAGAAGCTGTGGATGTTAAAGCTGATGTGGGCTCTAGAAGCCACTGGAGATTCATGGGGGAATTCCAAGGTCATTTTATAAGAATTTGGACTGGAAGGGACCCCAGGAGATCCCTGGTCCAACCTCCTGCTCAAAGCAGGGTCAGTTCTGGGACCATCCCAGGTGGCTGAGGTCTTCAGATCCTCCAAAGGAGGAGATGATGCAACTTTGGGCAACACACTCTGACACTTGGAGAGTCATGGGATGTCCTGAGTTGGAAGGGACCCACGAGGATCACCCAGTCCAACCCCTGGCCCTGCACAGAGACCCCAACAATCCTGCTCTTTCCCTGTTGTCCAAACCCTCCCTGAGCTCTGGCAGCCTTGGGGCTGTGCCCACTGCCCTGGGGAGCCTGTTCAGAGCCCAACCACCCTCTGGGGGAAGAACCTTCTCCTGACATCCCCTTGGCTGGTCTGGGGATGAAAAAATTCCTCCTTACACCCAGTTTGAACCTTTCTCCTTGAAACTCTCACCCGTTCCCCTCCCACCGTCCCAGCACTGTGTCAAACCCCCTGATCCCCTCCCCTGCTCCCTCCCACCACCCCCTGCTCCGCTCTCCCTGCTCCCGCACATCTCCAGGCGGGATTTCCAGCCTTTTGTCAGGAAAGCGCAGCCTGTTTTTCCCTCCTCATCTCGATCCTTTGCTACCACCTAGCGCTGAGAGGGGCGCAGGGCCCTCAGGCTGGCGTGGGGGTCCCTCAGGGGGATTCCCGGGATATCCGTGGGCTGTGCCAAAGTGGAAGAAGACTGATAGAAGATCCTGGGTAAAGCTGGGTTTGGGTGGGGAAAACAGGATGATCCCACTACTTTGGGAATTTGAAACAGGTGGATTTTTACCTTCTCCTCTTTTAGCCATCAGCCATAGGGTTGTGTCCAGGGATGTGTCCAGCCCTGGGCTCCTCAGGACAGGAGGGACAAGGAGCTCCTGGAGCAGGTCGAGTGGAGGGAAACAAAGATGCTGAAGGGACTGGAGCATCTCTGTGACCAGGAAAGGCCGAGGGAGCCGGGGCTGTTCAGCCTCCAGAGCAGACACTGAGAGGGGACCTCCCCCAGGTCTGTGGGGTCTGCAGGGAGGGGGCAGAGGATGGACCAGGCTCTGCTCGGGGTGGAGGGGCAGCAACGGGACAAGAGGAATGGGCAGAAACCGATGCCCAGGAAGTTCCACCTGTGTGGAGTCTCCCTGACTGGAGCTATTCCAACCTTGTCTGGACAATCCTGTGCCCTGTGCTCTGGGATGGCCCTGCTTGAGCAAAGAGTGGGGACCAGATGACCCACTCTGGTCCCTTCCAACCTGAACCATTCTGTTATTCTGTGATACTGAGATTCTGTGGTTCTGTCATTCCATGATTTCCTAACTCTGAGAGTCTGTGATCTCTGGATTCTGTGACTCTGTGATTCTGTATGTGAGTCTGTGATTCCATGATTCTGTCAGGTTGTGATTCCATGGCTCTGTAATTTTGTGACTGTAGTTTTGTGACTCTGTGGTTCTGTGACTGATTTCATGACTCTGTGACTCTGAGATTCTGAAAGTCCCTGATTCTGTGATTTTGTGAGTCTGTGATTTTGTGAGTCTCTTATTCCATGATTGTGTGATTCTGCAATTCCATGACTGTGATTCCACGATTCTGTCACTCTGAGAGCATGTGCTTCTGTGATTTTGTTATTCTGTGATTCCAGGATTCTACGACTCCGTGACTCTCTCTGGTTCTGTGATTCTGAGTCTGTCATTCTGTATTTCTGTGACTCTGTGATTCCCTGATTCCACGATTCCCTGTTCCCCTGACTCGACAAGCACCACCAAACCCCGATCATTTCACCAGGGAGGGGACACTGAACACGGGGCACGGCGATGAGGGGTGGGCAGGGGACATCCCGGGGACCCCCAACCACTCCCGTGCCTCCCCCCGGCCCCCATCCCCTCATGGCACCCCATTACCCTCACAGCCCCTCCCATTCCCCTCACAGCCCCCCATTTCCCTCACGGCCCCCATCCCACTCACAGCCCCCATTCCTCTCATAGCACCACCCATTCCCTCAGCCCCTCCCATTCCCCTCACACCCCCATTTCCCCTTCATGGCCTCCCCATTCCCCTCACACCCCCTATTTCCCCTTCATGGCCCCCATTCCCTCACATCCCACCCATTTCTCCTCATGGCCCCCTGTTTCCCCCTTATGGTCCCCATTCCCTCATCCCCACCCATTTCTCCTCATGGCCCCCTGTTTCCCCCTCATGCCCCCATTCCCCTCAGGCCCCCATTCCCCTCTCAGTCCTCTATTCCCTTCACATTCCCCTCACAGAACCCCAATCCCTCACAGCCCCCATTTCCCTCACGGCTCCCCATTTCACTCACGGCCCCCTATTTCCTCCTCCGCCCCCATTCCCTCAGGGTCCCTCCATTCCCTTCACATTCCCCTCACAGCACCCCCATCCCCTCACGGCCCCACATCCCCTCACGGCCCCACATCCTCTCACGCCCCCATTCCCTCACGCCCCCATTCCCTTATGGCCCCTGATTCTCTTCACAGTCCTCTCAGCACCCCTCATCCCTCACAGCCCCCATTCCCCTCACGCCGCCCCATTCCCCTCATGGCCCCCATTCCCCTCACGGCTCCCATCCCCTCACGTCCCCTTATTTCCCCCTCACAGCCCCCATTCCCTCACGGCCCCCATCCCCCTCATGGCCCCCATTCCCTCACACCCCTCTTATTTCCCCTCATGGCCCCCATTCCCTCATGGTCCCCCATTCCTTCACATTCCTTCACAATACCTCCCATCCCTCACGGCCCCCATTTCCCTCACGGTGCCCCATTTCCCTCACAGCCCCATTCCCTCATGGCCCCCCTTCCTCTCACCCTCCTATTCCCCTCACGTCGCCCCCATTCCCCTCACGTCGACCCAATTCCCCTCATGGACCACTATTCCCCTCACGCCCCCATTTCCCCCTCACGGCCCCCCTTCCCTCACGTCTCCCCATTCCCTCCCATCCCCCATTTCCCTCATGGCCCCCTATTTCCCTCGCACCCCTCCCATTCCCCTCACGGCCCCCCAATTTCCCTCTCATGGCCCCCCTATTTCCCTCTCATGGCCCCCCTATTTCCCTCTCACGGTCCCCCTATTCCCCTCACGGCCCCCAATTTCCCTCTCATGGCCCCCTATTTCCTCTCACGGTCCCCCATTCCCCTCACGGCCCCCAATTTCCCTCTCACACCTCCCATTCCCCTCACGGCCCCCCCCGGCGGTCAATGGCGGCACTGCAACACTCCCGCCCCTTTCACGCCGCTTTCGCGACGGCGCGGGCCGTGCCGCTTTACGGCGGCGGCGCGGGCGGTGTCGCTTTACGGCGGCGGCGGCTGCAGGAGAGGCCGCGGGACCCGCCGGGATGAAACAAAAGAGGAAAAATGGGAAAGGTACGGGAGGGGCTGGAGCGGACGGGAATGGAGCGCCCGGGGGAGCTGGGGGGGGGCTCAGCCCGGGGAGAAGAGGGGTCAGGAGGGACCTCGTGGCTCTCCGCTGCTCCCTGACATGAGGGGGGAGCCGGGGGCGGGTCCTGCTCCCAGGGAACGAGGGCCGGGAGGAGAGGGAAGAGGAGATGTTTATACTGGATATTGGGAACAATTCCTGCATGGAAAGGGCTGTCCAGCCCTGGCACAGCTGCGCGGGGCAGTGGCGGAGTCGCCATCCCTGGAGGGGTTTAAAATCCCCGTGGATGTGGCCCTTGGGGACACGGGTGTGGCCTCGGCGGCGCTGGGGAACGGTTGGAGTTGACGATCGTAAAGATCTTTCCCGACCTTAACGGTTCCACAAATCCCTCCGCGTGCGTGCAGTGGGAACACGAGGTGTTGTTTTTGAGGAGGGGAGGGGGGTGAAGGACCAGCCCCGACCTTGCTGGGAGGGTGTGGAGGGGCTGGGCTGGAATTCCCAGGAAGCTGTGGCTGCCCCTGGATCCCTGGAAGTGTCCAAGGCCAGGTTGGATTTATTTGGAGCAACCTGGGATGGTGGGAGGTGTCCCTGCCCATGACAGGGGGTTGGAATGGGATGAGCTTTAAAGGTCCTTTCCCACCCAAACCGTTCTGGTATCCTGTGATTCCATGGAGCTGGAACTGCTCCAGGCTGGGGTTCTCAGCAGACTATCCCTGTGGGATGCAGCTCCAGGGGATCAGAGGAAAACACTGAGCTCAAAGGAGACCTTGGAGCCCCTTCCAGAGCCTGCAGGGGCTCCAGGAGAGCTGGAGAGGGACTGGGGACAAGGATGGAGGGACAGGACACAGGGAATGGATTCCCACTGCCAGATGGGAGATTGGGAAGGGATTCCCAGCTGGGAGGGTGTGGAGGGGCTGGGCTGGAACTCCCAGAGAAGCTGTGGCTGCCCCTGGATCCCTGGAGTGTCCCAGGCTGGGTTGGATCCCCTGGGATAGTGGGAGATGCCGGTGTTAGAATTGGATGAGCTTCACCATCCCTTCCCACTGAATCCATCCCACAATTCCATGGAATGCCTTGCAGGGGAGTGCCCCTGGTTGTCCCCATCATTGCCCAGCCCTGACTGTCCCTGTGTGTCCCTCTGTTCCCGTTCCAGGGGGGCTCAGCCAGGCCGAGCTGATGATGATGACGATCGCCGACGTCATCCAGCAGCTCATCGAGGCCCACGAGCAGGGAAAAGAGGTGGATCTCAACAAGTAAGTCCCCCAGGGATGGCACTGAGGGGGGAATCCGTGAGGAATGAGCGTGTCCTGTGCCCTCTGTGACGTCCAGGTCTCCTTTCCACGTCCTGCTGCCGTGATCTAGTAATGAAGGCCCCGAGATGAGTAAATTCTGTGGTGATTTGCTCTGAGAGTGCAAAATGGATGAAAATCCCCAAGGATTTCCAACTGCCTTTTAATCTTTCCACTTGTGTTCATCCTTCAGTAGCCCCAAACTCAATTCCAACCGGGAATGGAAAGATTAATATAAGAATGGAAAGATTAATATAAAAACATTGTTAAATCACATTTTTTTTTTTAGCTCTCTGTTGTGCATGGAGTTGTCCCCAGAAAGTTCTTTGTTTCTTTATGTATGTGGAGTGAATTTGCCTCACTTTTCCTGCTTCTTTGACACGATGCAATTCCAGACTTTTTGCCGACGCCGGAAAAACCTGGCGTGAATTTTCTGGGAGAGATCAGCTCAGCCACAAGGCTGTGTTGTGTTAATCCCATGGAAGGCACGAACTAAATCCCTGAAAACAGGCAAGGATTGGCAACTCTCACAGTGTTTTTATTAAAGTCACTTTTAGGAAAACACCTCAAAACCCAAATTGTTGGCGGTCGTTTGGAGTTTATTTTCCGTATTTTAATCCCCAGAGCGGGTGGGGGTGGCTTTTTAAAAGGCAGAAGGGGGAGAACCCAGCTGGGCTGATGGAAAACAGGAGTTTTTTTGCTGACTGGAGGTGTTTGTGCCCTCAGGTTGAAGACCAGGACGTCGGCCAAGTACGGGCTGGCGGCGCAGCCGCGCCTGGTCGAGATCATCGCGGCCGTCCCGCCCCGGTACCGCAGGGTCCTCGTGCCCAAGCTCAAGGCCAAGCCCATCAGAACTGCCAGTGGGGTAAGCAGGGCCACCATCCCTCCTTTCACCATCCTCCTGCCTTTCTCTCACCCACAAATTGCGTTTAATTGCAGCCAAAGAGCGGGATGTGGAACGTCCAGGGGGATTTAACCCACCTGGCCTTTCCTGTGATGTTGTGCCCACGGGGATGTTGCTTTTAGAATGTTTGGGAGGAGGTTTCCTCCTTTGGAAAGCTGCCCAAGGAAGTTGTGGGAAGCCCATTCCCTGGAAGTTTCCAAGGTTGGACGGGGCTTGGAGCAACCTGGGGTAGTGGAAGGTGTCGGGGTTGGACCTGAACGAGCTTTAAGGTCCTTCCAACTCAAACCATCCTGAGATTCCCTGAGGAAAAAGAGGAGGTGTTTCCACATCTCTGTGCATCCTTTCAGCAGGGCAGTTGATCCAATTCAGTGTAAGACACCTGTTTTTTTTTAAAACAGGCTCAGATTTCCTCTGAAACGTGAAAATACTCAATAACAGGATTCCTACCCCTTGGTGGTTTCCTTTTCTCCTTCATGGGTTAACACCCAGATATTTTAGGTGGCAGACTGAGCTCGGAACATCTTAAAATAGCCTCGCAGATGCTCATGAACACCCAGCCTGCCGAGGTGCACTTTTTATTTCAGTGACTTCAGAAGCAGTGACTGCCGTTCCTCTGCTCTGATCTTTGCCCCCCCCTCGCAGATCGCGGTCGTGGCTGTGATGTGCAAACCACACCGGTGCCCACACATCAACTTCACGGGCAACATCTGTGTGTGAGTACCAGAGAAAAGATATTCCCACCCCCATCTCCTGTGCTGGCACCGCTGGGGCACCCCCAGGGCTGGGGGCAGCGCTGGGACACTCCCAGCAAGGGGGACACTGAGGGGCTGGAGCGTGTCCAGGGAAGGGAATGGAGCAGCAGGAGCGGCTGAGGGAGCTGGGGGGGCTCAGCCTGGAGAAAAGGGTCATGGGGGGACACCCTGGTGGAGTTTGGGGAGGGGGAGTCACTGCAGTGGGACACAGTCAAGCCCTGAGGGGACAGTGGGGGGGACAGGGAACACCTGGGAGGGCGTGGGGAGTGGGTGTCACTGCAGTGTGGCACGGCCGAGCCCTGAGGGGACACGGGGACATGGGAGGACATGAGGGGACTTGGGAGCCCTGGGAGAGTGTGGGAAGGGGTGTCACGGTCCTGGGACACGGCTGAGCCCTGAGGGGACACGGTGGGGATGGTGGCACCTGGTTTGGAGCAGCCCTGGTGTGTCACAGCCCCAGGGCAGTGCCCGTCCCTGTGCTGGCACTGCTGGGGCACCTCCAGGGCTGGGGGCAGTGCTGGGCCCCTCAGACAAGAGAGACACTGAGGGGCTGGAGCAGCAGGAATATCTGAGGGAGCTGGGAGGGCTCAGCCCAGAGAAAAGAGGGATCAGGAGGGACCTTTTCCCACCCCACAACTCCCTGCCAGGAGAGTGGAGCCTGGGGGTGTCGGGCTCTGCTCCCAGGGAATAAGACACAGAAGGAGAGGGAACGGCCTCCAGCTGTGCCAGGTGGGATATTGGGAACAATTCCTGCATGGAAAGGGCTGTCAGGCACTGGAATGAACTTCCCAGGGCAGTGGTGGATTCCCCATCCCTGCAGGGATTCCCAATCCCTGTGGATGTGGCCCCTGGGGACACAGGGCAGGGCTGGCCTGGGCAGTGCTGGGGATGGTTGGACTCCATGATCTTGGAGTTCTTTTTCCCACCTTAACCATTCTGTGATTCCATGACCCAAGAGGGCAGTTTTCCAGTATTTCTGTATAAATCCAGCATTGCAGGAGCCTTCCTTTGGGGACAGGCTTCCTTTCTGCACAGCTGCCAAGTGGCAGGTTGCTAAAAAAAATCTGCTTATTTCCAGCTTTTCTTCAAGGAACAGACCCTTTTTCATGGGCCAAACCCGACACACCATGGTAGATTTACAGTTTCACCAGCACAGTGACCAGGAGAACGTGTTAATTAATACAAATAAGTTGTTTCACTGACCTAGGGCATGCAGGAGGAGTTCCCAAACCTCCTGTCTGAGATGATCTTTGAGCACTTGGAATGCTGTCTTTGTTAAATATCACGTTCCTAAGCTCAGCAAACAAATGTAGATGAGCCTCCTCACCATCAAGATGTTTTTAAGTTCTGTAAATTCCTGGAGAATTCAGTTGTGTGAAGGGGTGATGCCTCTATTTTACATCTTTCCACGCCAAAGGAAAATCGTATTTTTCCATTAAACAAGGTTATGTTCTTCATGGAAGGGTGGAAAATACTGGGAATTGTAAAATTTGAGGGGTTTTGGGGGCAAAAAATTGCATGGCTGCTCCCCAAAAATAATGCCACGTCCCAGAATCCCTCTCGTGATGGGGGGGAATTTGTTCACAGCTCATTTTGCTTCTGGAAAGTCTTAGCAGGTTGTTTGAAGTACCATTTGGTTTTTGATATCCCATTCCCATTAAAATTGGATGGAACAACTGTTTGGCACTGTGTTTGTAAACGTGGAAGGGCTCAGTTCCCCTCAGCATTCCTGGATATCTGGAATCCCAGAATGGTTGGGGTTGGAAGGGACCTTAAAGCTCGTCCTGTTCCAAACCCTCACACCTCCCACTAGCCCAGGTTGCTCCAAGCCCCATCCAACCTGGCCTTGGACACTTCCAGGGATCCAGGGGCAGCCACAGCTTCCCTGGGAATTCCAGCCCAGCCCTTCATCACCCTCCCAACCAGGAATTCCTTCCCAATCTCCCATCTCTCCCTGCCCTCTGGCAGTGGGAAGCCATTCCCTGTGTCCTGTCCCTCCATCCCTTGTCCCAAATCCCTCTCCAGCTCTCCTGGAGTTTCTCCCATTGGAATTGTTTGAGTTTTTGATCCCTTTTTTCTCTCCTTTCACGTTGGCAGGTACTGCCCAGGTGGACCTGACTCGGATTTTGAATATTCAACACAGTCTTACACTGGATATGAGGTACTGCTTTGTTCTGCTGGAAGGCATTCCCAGCATTCCCAACATTCCCAACACTCCATAAACCTGGCTTTGGGTTAGGCTGCTCTTTATTCCCACAAACACACTCAGAATTAAAAGGATAAACAACAAACCCAGCCTTTATAAACTTCGAAATCTAAAGCAGCTCAGCTCTAGGAAGTGGAAATTCTGCTCAATCCCTGCGAAAAATGAGGAAAATGAGGAAAAACTGTGCCTTCACCTGAAAATATTTTAACATGAAGCATCAGACACTTCCATAGGGATGTGCAGAGGTTTTGGGATGTCTCTCAAAGATGGGCAAGACACAGCCCTGAGCTCCCAGTCCTGACTGGAGTTACTTTCAGTCCTGCCCAACCTGCAGGTCTGGATTAAAAAAAGTACAAATTTTGTGAAAAAAACCCCATCTTTTTAGCTGTTGATGGCTCTGAAATTCCATTCATTCCCTTTTTGTCTCTCTGTCTGCACTGATACCCCACTAAATATACAGATAAATTTCCAAAGTAGTGCCCTGCTGTTGTCTGGAGGAAGTTTTAACAGCAGCTGATCCCGTGACTGAATTATCGTGGCTGGTTTTTAACCACAAAAAGCTGTGGCAGGGGTGGAAAAGCAGCCAAATGGGATAAAATACAAACTGGATTAATTTGATAAGCACTGATGCAGCGTCCTTTCAGTAGGGATTTTGTTCTTATCCACTTCTCAGGGACTGGAAACTTGTCCCATTAAGCAGGAAAAGCCTGGGAATGTGTAACTGCTTTATTTAATTCACGGGGTTTTTTTTCGGCTGTGGTATTAATTTCTTTAATCATTTTATTTAGACAGACCACACGTGGGAGTTGTTCATGATTAAGAGCCCTCATCCCTCAGAGCTTTGAGTAGAACAGACAGGAAATACCAGGAAAATCCAGGATACACGAGGTCCTTGGAAACCTTCTTGGAGTGTTATTAATAGGCTTCCATCAGCTAGTAATTGAAAAAAGCAAGTTGTCAGGGGTTTTAATGGGAGGAATACGCTCAATTTAAAGGATATTTGAGTTCAGGCCGAGCTCTTAAGAGGGTGTTGCTTGGGTAAGCTGTGCAAGTGAAAAGGCAACAAAAGGAACAGGAGGGGGAAAAGTGCCTCGAAAAACACTCTGTGGTTTTTGTAATAACTTTTGAGGGCCACTACAGAGATTCTTTGGCTGTTGCAGTGCACTAAAAATCGAAAAAAATGACGGTATTTAGATCATGTTGCCACTCAGGACAAAAATGTGTTTCTTTGGGATTTTTTTAAATTTAAATATAAGGAGCCAAATCCGTATTTACACTTGGACGGACCCTGTGTGAGTCTGAAGGTCGGTTGGGATTTGAAGACTGGAGGTTTTCAATGCTAAAAAGTTGTCCTTTTTGGTCTTTTTCACTGCTTTTAATAATAATAAAAAAAAAAGGTTTACAGAATGAATTTCCTTGTGTTTTGCAGCCAACATCCATGAGGGCCATCCGGGCTCGGTACGATCCCTATCTCCAGACACGCCACAGGGTGGAACAGGTACATTTTTTTGGGGGGGAAAATGGGAAGGGAAATTCCCTGTGGTTGTGATGAAAATAATGCCTTTTATTTAATTATGCCTGGAAGAAGGGGTTGTGGTCACGTTGCCCCATCGGCAGCTCTGAATTTTAATTCCACCCGACCTGATCCCCCCGTGGAAAGATTAATTTTAGACCTTTTTTAATTGTCCAGCTGTCAATTCCATGGGGGAAATAATGAGTTTGGAACCTCTTAAAAGGTCTTGTACAACACCTGATTGTTAATAGGAGATCCTGTTAGTCCTATTCCAGCAAAATTGTACTGAACCTCTCTGGTAGTTCCTACTCCTTGGGAATTTAGTACTCAAATAGTGCCTTTCTTACCAAAATTAATTTATTGGTGTCTCCTCTGGAGAATCAGAAGACCCAAAGAGTTTCTCAGTCCTGTTCTGGTTTTCTGTTCACCTCCAAACAATCTCCATGGATTCACTGTGGTCCTTTTCTCTCCCAAATTTATAAGGAGAGATTGAGGCAATTTTTTTTCCACTTCTGGCCGTGTCTAAACCGGTTTCAAACTGGGACCGGTGTAACTCCACCAGCTCAGATCATTCTGCTTTGCCAGGAAAATCCCCTGCACTGGGCTCGACATCTCCACTGTCCTCTTGCAGTAGAAAAAGGGCTTTTGAGGGTGTTTGGGGTATTTTTTTAGAAGACCTGCACAGAAATGGTTTGTCACCCCTAAAAGATAGAACGGCTCAAGAAGGAAAAAACACAGGGTGAGAAGATCAGGGGTTACAGAGAGAAGTCCCCGAGGGGGCAAAGACAGCAATTTTTCCATGATCCCTTTAATTTTCCAGCTGAAGCAGCTGGGCCACAGCGTGGACAAAGTGGAGTTCATTGTGATGGGTGGAACCTTCATGGCTTTGCCTGAGGAATACAGGGATTATTTCATCAGGAACCTGCACGATGCCTTGTCGGGTCACACTTCCAACGACGTGGCAGAGGCCGTCAGGTAAGAACCTGGGTTTTCCTTCAGGGGAATTGTTTCAGAGCAGAAAACACTGAGGAGAATGATGTTTTAATTTGGTTTTTTTTTTAAAAGGGAATGTTTATCCAAGTATGATTTGAGGCACAGAACATTTATAGCCCTGCAGAAGGCAGGGGGGGTCTCTCTCTCTCTTTCCTGAGGCGGGAATCGCTGATCTCTCCCTGATTCCTTGGCATTCCTTGGCATTCCTTGGGGGGATTGTGACTTTTCTGCCTCATCACCTTGCTGGGGAGTTGTGACGAATGCCATTGCCATGGGATTTATTTCCTGGAGCTGGGAAGGGGAGCTGCTCCTGCCTTTTGAGGGAGGCCAGACGTCAGCTCCCGTAAGGAATGACTCACCCCGGAGAGCGTCAGCGCTCCCAGCCCCTTGCGGTCTCAAATGCAGCATTTTGGAGTGACAGGGAGATGCTCTTTCTCCTTTTACAGCTGCTGAGAACCTGAAAATCAGAGCCTGCTTTATTTCTCTGCGTCCCCATCAGTAAATACGGAACTTTTTCCGAGGAGAAAAAGGAGGGATTTGGTGTTTTGGAGCTGTTAAAACTCCAGGGGGAATCTTCACTTTGCTGCCTTGTCGTTGTTCAGTGCAGTGTGGGTTTTCCTTGATGCCATAATCCACCAAAAACCCCACCGATTTTAGAGCTGAGCAGGGCCAGTCCTTCCCTCCTGCCTTTGTGTTTTAAAGCTGTACCAAATAATTTCGGTTTTCCTCTGGAGGGCAGCAAACTCTTCCACAGCTTCTCTTCGTTTTTTTTTCCTCCTATCACTCGAAAAGACCAAACAGAAACTGCTCTGCTGCTTCTTCCCCGAGTGGATTTTACCATGACACAAATAACAAGTTGGGAAAAGAATGGCTTTTCCTCTGCTCTGGTGCCCTGGCTGTGAGCACTGAAGGTCAAGGTCGTCTGCCCAAATTAACACTGTGATTCAGGGGGTGGTTAGTCCATATTTATTTAATTTTTTTTTTTATTTTTTTTAATTATTTTTTGTGCCTGCTGCAGGTGTCCAGCTCATTTTCTCGGGCCTAAAAATAACCTTTCGAGCAGCCTGGCCTTTGCTGTGCAGATTAATAAGGGGGACTTGTTTACGCCGTGTGACCGGGGGGATCTGAAGGGCTGCAAACCCCAAAGTGACTCTGTGAAGTCACAGCGCACACAACACAACACTGTGTGACAAAAACCTGCCCTGGCAACGTGTGGGCTCTTGCAGCAGATAAAGGAAGGCTTATATTTGTAACACAGAACCCACTCGAAGCGCTCGGTAAATGGAGTAATGTGGGAGTTGCTGGAGTTGCACTTCCCAGATATTCCAGAGGCGAGAAAATGGGCTTCGGATGAATCAGCCCTTCTTGAGTTTAGCTCTGCTACTGTATCACTGCAGCGTTGTTTTGAGATGGTCGATGACACTTGGAATGAGCAGTCAGGGTTGGATTTATTTCTCTTTGTGTGTGAGGATTCGTCTCCCTCGCTCCTTCCGTCGGCAGAGGCCGCGAGGGATGAGGAGTAGGGACAGGATTTCAGAGGTTTTATTTTATGCATTTTGTATTGTGCATTCTGCAGTAGCCCGGGGCTCTGGGTTCTCTCACTCCTTATTTTTAATGGGATTTGGGAGCCTGGATGTTTTTCATCCTTGTGCAAATCCTCATTTAACTTCAGATGTCGTGACAGAACCCCGGAATCCCAGGATGGTTTGGGTTGGAAGGGAACTTAAAGCTCATCTCGTTCCAGGGGCAGGGACACCTCCCACTATCCCAGGCTGCTCAGAGCCCAAATCCACCTAACTCTGACCACAGTTTCTGCCTTTCTGTCCATTATTTTCCCCCCTTTTGGCCAGTAAGTTCTTTTCTTTGTCCTAAACTCGGGCTCTGCTCCGTGTCCGAGGCTGCCTTTCCGGTGACAGCGGCACACTTGACCTGCAGGGTCTGAACCGAGCAGCTCTGAAGGGACTCATCAATCTGACATCCTCCTCTTGACGTAATTCTCAATTTTCTTCTTATAATACTTTGTCTTGGTCAGCCCAGTGTGGCTTCTGGTCCCGGTTAATCTGATAAAAAGGATGTGATTCCGTGCTGTTCCAGCCGGAGCGTGTCGTGGAGGTCGATCCTGTTCCTCACCAGGAACGGGCACTGCGAGCCTGGATAAAGAAATAAATCCCCAGACTGTGGGGGCCCTTGGACTCCAGCTGATATTCTGAGTTGCCCTCAGTGTGTCTTGCAGATAAATACGTGAGTTCACCGACAGAAAGTGGGATTTTTGAGAGGACGAGCGGGGAAAATGCGAGGCTTCAGTAGAGACTGTCGTGAGCGAGGGGAAGGAAATGAATTCCCCCAGAAAGTGCTGCAGGTCTGTAATATTTCTGCAGCACCTCCCTCTTGGGGTAATAAACATGTAGGAGTATTCAGACAGAAGTCTTTGCTCGGGGTGCTTTGCTTTGCCTGAGAAATAAGTTGGCCGAGGAACGGGTTGAAGAATTGCAGAGCCGGAGGGGGGATCTTTGTTTTGGAGAGGGTTTTGCAGCACGACTTGAGAAGTTTTTAATTTTCCTCAGCTGAGAGCCCCACTTGGGAGATTTCTGGGCCCTTCTGGATGCCTCTCACTCCAGCCAGGTTGTGGACTTGCTGATAAGCTCTCCCCTTCTTCGGGAGGGGGTTTGCAATTCACCGCTGAAGAATCACCGCGAGACACCTTTTTTTCCTTCCCCGCTGCACGCCGGAGAAATCCATCTCAGGCAGAAGTGCTGGCTTGATTACAGCTGCCTTGGCTGAGGCCAATCAGGCAGGAAGGTGTAAAAAAACCAGCTCCTGTGAATGGGAATTGCTGCTCCCCGGCAGTTGGCTCCTCTCACCTGACCCGTGAGTCACTGGAGGTGCTGGGCGCGTCGAGCCGAGCGGCCGCCGTGACTCACGCTCAGCTCCCGGGGCTGAGCCCCTGCCAGGGCCACGATCTGACTGTTAATGAGGGGAACGAGCCCCAAGGAGAGCTTGGCTGTGCTGGCAGGAAGGTCTCATCCTCAGGGATGAGCGTCCCTGAGCGTCCCTGTGGTCCCTGCAACGTCCAGCCTTTGGTGGAGATCTCGGGAGCTGAGCTGGGGGGTGTTCACCTGGAGAGGAGGAGGCTCCAAGGTCTCCCTTCCAGAGCCTGAAGGGGCTCCAGGAGAGCTGGAGAGGGATGTGGGACAAGGGCTGGAGGGACAGGACACGGGGAATGGCTTCAAACTGGAATAGAGTAGGTTTAAATTAGAGATTAGGAAGGAATTCTTGGCTGGGAGGGTGGTGAGGCCCTGGCACAGCTTTCCCAGAGAAGCTGTGGCTGCCCCTGGATCCCTGGAAGTGTCCAAGGCAAGGTTGGATGGGACTTGGAGCTACCTGGGATAGTGGAAGGTGTCCCTGGTCATGGCAGGGGGTGGAACTGGATGAGCTTTAAGATCCCTTCCCACCCAAACCATTGCAGGATTTGATCATTCCAAGGAGCTGGGAGTCTGGAATTCCCAGTTTCTCAGCAGACAAATCATGTGGGATGTGACTACAAGGAATTAATAAAACTGAGCTCCAGGGAGAGCTTGGAGCCCCTTCCAGTGCCTAAAGAGGCTCCAGGAGAGCTGGAGAGGGACTGGGGACAAGGAATGGAGGGACAGGATACAGGGAATGGCTTCCCACTGCCAGAGGGCAGGGAGAGATGGGAGATTGGGAGGGGATTGCTGGTTGGGAGGGTGGGGAGGGTCTGGGCCGGAATTTCCAGAGAAGCTGTGGCTGCCCCTGGATCCCTGGAAGTGTCCAAGGCCAGGTTTTGCACTGGAACAGTGGGAGGTGTCCCTGCCCATGGCAGGGGGTTGGACTTGGATCATCTTTAAGGTCCCTTCCAACCCAAACCATTCCGTGGTTTCTGTGATTTCAGTATCTAAAAACGCATCTGGATTATTTTGAAATTTTTAATTTTAACAGCCTGATGAGCTGTCTGATGCTGGATTAGGCTGGATGTGGCAAAGCAAGAAGGAGGGAACGTTGTTGGAACCTCACGTTGTGCCGTTCCAGTCTCTGCTGCGCCCGATCTTCCCGTGCCAATATTCAGGGCCACAGCAGGCTATTTTCCAGAACAATCCCCTAATCCAAAGCTGGGTGGGCTTTCCATCCACCCATCAGCCCCTTCAGAGGCTCATTTTCCACTGGCATCCCGCTGCTGAAGCCCTGAACTCTCAGGAGGGATTGCTGTGGGCTGTGTTCCGTTCCTCGTGGGGCAACCACAGCTCCCAACTCCATCCCACACCCACCCTGGGACTGCCTTTTCCTCATGGATTGCTCGTGCCAGGGGTCCCTTTGTGTCCCCCCCCATTCCCTGGGTCTTCCCCCCCCCCCCAGTTTAGGACCTCTTGGCCCCCAGAGGAACAAAACCAAACCCTGAGCACTGAGCAGTTCCAGCAGGGCTTGGTTTGGGGCTGTGGAGCTCCCGAGGCCTCTTGAAACCCAGCTGGGGATCACTTTTTCCTGAACTGTTTTCATTTGCCCAAATAAGGTTTGAGGTCTTTTATGGAGTTGTTTGGTTTTTTTTTGCTGTGATTTAACCAAGATTTAGCCTGTTGGCTCCACTTTTAGGACACAGCCCCTCAGTGAAGTTATGTGGGGTCACTCTGTGCCTTTCCCTGGCTCCCTGCCCGCATTTCAGACACCTGTGGCAGGGAAATCTCCAGGGAGGAGGTGACAGCAAACCTGTTTGACCTCGTGGCTGCTCCAGGCAAGGAAGAGGCTGTGCCCTAAATCCACTGGGGGGGCTCCATTGACACGTGGCTGCTCGTTGCACTGATGGCCCTTAATTGTTCTTTCTGGGGACTGATTTGAGACTCCAGCAAAAATAACCCGGGTTTGACTCAGCCTCTGCAGTGAGTCACGCTGGGGACACCGGAGAGGTCACTGCTCTCCTCTCATCTGTGCCCAGCTCGGGAAGGACATGGAGGGGCTGGAGCAGGGGCAGG